TAAAAGTTTAAAAAGTTTAATATTTCGAATAGGAATAATATTAAACTTTTAAAACTTTTAAAACTCCTGGGGGTGGTTTTAAAAGTTTAAAAAGTTTAATATTTTTCCTATTCGAAATAATTAAATTTTTTAAACTTTTAAAACTCCCCAATCCCTTTCCTAGACCCCAAATTTGGGAAACAGTTTAATATTAAATTTTTCAAACTTTTTAAACTTTCGAAACTTTTAAAACTACCCAGAGGAGTTTTAAAAGTTTAAAAACTTTTTAAGTTGAAAATTTCGAATAGGAAAAATATTAAACTTTTCAAACTTTGGAAACTCCCCAATCCCTTTCCTAGACCCCAAATTTGGGAAACAGTTTAATATTAAACTTTTTAAACTTCTTAAACTTTGAAACTCTGGGGAAGGTTTTGAAAGTTTAAAAAGTTTATTTTGTCCTATTAGAAAAAAAATTGTTTTTTAAACTTTTAAAACCACCCCAGTTTAAAGTTTTTAAAAAGTTTAATATTTTTCCTATTCGAAAAAATTAAATTTTTTAAACTTTTAAAACTCCCCAATCCCTTTCCTAGACCCCAAATTTGGGAAACAGTTTAATATTAAACTTTTTCAAACTTTTTAAACTTTTGAAACTTTTAAAACTACCCAGAGGAGTTTTAAAAGTTTAAAAACTTTTTAAGTTGAAAATTTCGAATAGGAAAAATATTAAACTTTTCAAACTTTGGAAACTCCCCAATCCCTTTCCTAGACCCCAAATTTGGGAAACAGTTTAATATTAAACTTTTTAGACTTTTAAAACTCCTCTGGGTAGTTTAAAAGTTTAATATTTTTCCTATTCGAAAAATTAAACTTTTTAAACTTTTAAAACCACTCCCAGAAGTTTTAAAAGTTTAATATTTTTCCTATTCGAAAAAATTCAATTTTTTAAACTTTTAAAACTCCCCAATCCCTTTCCTAGACCCCAAATTTGGGAAACAGTTTAATATTAAACTTTTCAAACTTTTTAAACTTTTAGAACTTTTGAAACTCCTGGGGAAGGTTTTAAAAATTTAAAAAATTTCATATTTCGAATAGGAAAAATATTAAACTTTTAAAACTTTTAAAACCACGCCCAGAAGTGTTAAAAGTTTAAAAAAATTAATATTTGTCCTATTCGAAACAATTAAACTTTTTAAACTTTTAAAACTCCCCAATCCCTTTCCTAGACCCCAAATTTGGGAAACAGTTTAATATTAAACTTTTCAATCTTTAGAAACTTTTGAAACTTTTAAAACTCCCCAATCCCTTTCCTAGACCCCAAATTTGGGAAACAGTTTTATATTAAACTTTTTAAACTTTTAGAACTTTTGAAACTCCTGGGGAAGGTTTTAAAAGTTTAAAAAGTTTAATATTTCGAATAGGAATAATATTAAACTTTTAAAACTTTTAAAACTCCTGGGGGTGGTTTTAAAAGTTTAAAAAGTTTAATATTTTTCCTATTCGAAATAATTAAATTTTTTAAACTTTTAAAACTCCCCAATCCCTTTCCTAGACCCCAAATTTGGGAAACAGTTTAATATTAAATTTTTCAAACTTTTAAAACTTTCGAAACTTTTAAAACTACCCAGAGGAGTTTTAAAAGTTTAAAAAATTTAAAATTTCGAATAGGAAAAATATTAAACTTTTCAAACTTTGGAAACTCCCCAATCCCTTTCCTAGACCCCAAATTTGGGAAACAGTTTAATATTAAACTTTTTAAACTTTTAGAACTTTTGAAACTCCTGGGGAAGGTTTTGAAAGTTTAAAAAGTTTAATATTTGTCCTATTAGAAAAAAATATTGTTTTTTAAACTTTTAAAACCACCCCCAGAAGTTTTAAAAGTTTAAAAAATTTAATATTTTTCCTATTCGAAAAAATTCAATTTTTTAAACTTTTAAAACTCCCCAATCCCTTTCCTAGACCCCAAATTTGGGAAACAGTTGAATATTAAACTTTTCAAACTTTTTAAAAAGTTTGAAACTTTTAAAACTACCCAGAGGAGTTTTAAAAATTTAAAAAGTTGAAAATTTCGAATAGGAAAAAGATTAGACTTTTCAAACTTTGAAAACTCCCCAATCCCTTTCCTAGACCCCAAATTTGGGAAACAGTTTAATATTAAACTTTTCAAACTTTTTAAACTTTTAGAACTTTTGAAACTCCTGGGGAAGGTTTTAAAAGTTTAAAAAATTTCATATTTCGAATAGGAAAAAATTAAACTTTTAAAACTTTTAAAACCACGCCCAGAAGTTTTAAAAATTTAAAAAGTTTAATATTTGTCCTATTCGAAACAATTAAACTTTTTAAACTTTTAAAACTCCCCAATCCCTTTCCTAGACCCCAAATTTGGGAAACAGTTTAATATTAAACTTTTCAATCTTTAGAAACTTTTGAAACTTTTAAAACTCCCCAATCCCTTTCCTAGACCCCAAATTTGGGAAACAGTTTTATATTAAACTTTTTAAACTTTTAGAACTTTTGAAACTCCTGGGGAAGGTTTTAAAAGTTTAAAAAGTTTAATATTTCGAATAGGAATAATATTAAACTTTTAAAACTTACAAAACTCCTGGGGGTGGTTTTAAAAGTTTAAAAAATTTAATATTTCGAATAGGAAAAATATTAAACTTTTTAAACTTTTAAAGCTCCCCAATCCCTTTCCTAGACCCCAAATTTGGGAAACAGTTTAATATTAAACTTTTTGAACTTTTTAAACCACCCCCAGGAGTTTTAAAAGTTTTCAAAGTTGAATATTTTTCCTATTCGAAATATGAAATTTTTTAAACTTTTAAAACCTTCCCCAGGAGTTTCAAAAGTTTTAAAAGTTTAAAAAGTTTAATATTAAACTGTTTCCCAAATTTGGGGTCTAGGAAAGGGATTGGGGAGTTTTAAAAGTTTAAAAAGTTTAATATTTATCCTATTCGAAATTTTAATTTTTTTAAACTTTTAAAACTCCTCTGGGTAGTTTTAAAAGTTTAATATTTTTCCTATTCGAAATATAACACTTTTTAAACTTTTAAAACCTTCCCCAGGAGTTTCAAAAGTTTTAAAAATTTAAAAAATTAAAAAAAAATAATATTAAACTGTTTCCCAAATTTGGGGTCTAGGAAAGGGATTGGGGAGTTTTAAAACTTTAAAAAAATTAATATTTTTCCTATTCGAAATTTTAAACTTTTTAAACTGATAAAACTCCTCTGGGTAGTTTCAAAAGTTCTAAAAGTTTAAAAAATTTAATATTAAACTGTTTCCCAAATTTGAGGTCTAGGACAGGGATTGGGGAGTTTTAAAAGTTTAAAAAATTTAATATTTTTCCTATTCGAAATATTAAACTTTTTAAACTTTTAAAACCACCCCCAGGAGTTTCAAAAGTTTTAAAAGTTTAAAAAGTTTAATATTAAACTGTTTCCCAAATTTGGGGTCTAGGAAAGGGATTGGGGAGTTTTAAACGCTTCAAAAGTTTAATATTTTTCCTATTCGAAATATTAAACTTTTTAAACTTTTAAAACTCCTCTGGGTAGTTTTAAAAGTTTGAAAAATTTAATATTAAACTGTTTCCCAAATTTGAAGATTAGGAAAAATTTAAGAGTTCAATACTAAACTCTCCCAATCTGGGTGCCCGGAGCTCAAAATCACATAGACCCTATTATTCCCTCGTACGGGGGCCCCCCCTCTTCGACTCCACCCTCGTCCAAGGCGTTTGAGCCTGCAAGAAGTTGCATGAAACTACAGTCAGTCTGTCTAGGATTGATGTGTATACAGGAGGACTATATATCTGCCAGGTGAGTTTAGCACATTTCAGCAGTGGTCAGCTGCTAAACTGTTTGCAGCCTCTTTTCCTCAGAAATGCACATATACTTTCTGTGCCTTCGTTCTTTTTCCGGACACGAACGAGCGCAACCAAAGATTCACCGGTCTCAAGCACCGCTTGTCTTGGCACTTAGTTCCAAAAGTGCCGATGACTGTTGTTTTTTCCCTCGAGAGAGAGCATTTGGGCAATAGTCTTTGTCAGCGCCGTTCAACGCTACTATCACAGACAGCGACACGTACACTCTTCGCACCGCAAGGCACAGTCATTGCAGCAGTACAGCACAAAAACTTGAAACCGAAACTGCAAGAACGTTTGCCTTAGGTCAGCTCGTTTTGTGAGTCGCCCGATCCTAGCTGCAATACTCCTGTCCTGCCATGCTTGCTGCGTTGGCTGAAAAGAAAAAACTAGCAGCCTTCATGTTACACAATCCACAGCACTCCTTCCTAGCTTTCGTGTTTCCAGCATTCCTCTCAAGTGACATTTCATGACGTCCCAAACCTCAAAATATGATGGGTTTTGCAGTTTTCCTCATAGTGACTTGTTATTTACCCAGATTCCAGTCAACTGCAAATACTTGTGTCCGCGTGCGAACACCAAAGCAATGTCGAGTCAACACGATCCAGCCCCCAGACCCCCAAGTTAAATGGGAACGTTCCACTACACAGCACCCTCTTGTTCTTCCCCAAGCAACAACTGCACAAGGCGCCAACGGCTTGCAAAAAGCGGGCCAAGGCACTGGGGTTGCTATGTTTTCCTAATGGAAAAACTTGGAACGCCTTGGAAAACACATGCTATTTTCTGCACCTGTGACCCGTTAGGCGAAGAAAGGCAAAAAGAACAACCGCTACTTCCATCGCTGAGTTTCACCATTGTACTGCAAAAAGTGTCGCTGCAAAAAATTCTGTTGTGGTTCCACGGCAGGTTTGTGGGGTCAATTCGCGTGCCCATTCGCATTTTCTTCTTCCATTGGAATACCCCTACACGTTGATTCTTGAAGCATGCATGGGCATGACCATTTTGCTCAAATGCAAATGAAGCGAACCCATGGGACAACCAATGTCTGTTTCTGGCCAGAAAATGGTGCAAAGTTAGTGGAAAGAGGACAAACGACATTTTCAAAAACCAGAGCGGTGGTGGATTTTGCGTTGCCAAAATGGTGAAAATTCGTCGATTTGACAGGTTCAAACAGTTCGCCACGTTGCCAAAGATGCAACCCGTAAAACGTGCCAAACGCGACGCTACCGCATCGACCGAACTGCATCGTCGCAAGCTGCGTGAGTGCTTGGCTGATGGAAGTTTCCTCCATCCCACAAAGGCCCGGGGGTTGTGGCTCGCGTATGTGTGGTTTCCCATGTGCAGTATATCTCGGTTATTGGCTGTATATATATATATATATATAAAACGCATGTTTTCCTTTGTTTTGGTGGGTGTTATTTTTGTGGGTGATCTGGCTGGCATGTCGCTGAAAACATGTATCTTCATGCTTGACGAACACGATAAATCAATCATGAAGGACCAACCAGGCAGGATGTTTCAAGTTTTTATGGTACGTCTGAATCACAAACATTATTTAAATTGTCCCAGTGGGTTGGTGAAATTGATGGCACCATTTTGGGACCTCCATCCTTTCCAATGTTTTATATTATACATATTATACATATACATACGTATATATATATATATGTAAAGGTATATGTATATGTATATATAATTATATATATACACAAATATTTGGATTGCATATTTTGGAACCAAATGTTGGTCCATTGGTGTTGAACCCTGGCAAGGAGGGCACCTTCAATTTTTGCGACTTAGCTGAAGCGTTGGCCATGTGTTGCGGCTTGGCGCTACTACAACCCACCAGGACAGATTCCGTGCGCAGTGCTGCAAGGTGAACTTAAAAAAGGGGAAAATACCCACCATGAACATTCAAAAAATGATGATCTACATTTTTAGGGAGACTTGAATCCAAATTTTCGTTTTCCTTTGCCCACCGAACTGTTGCTGCTAAGATCTTGCTGGGTTTAGTACGTTGAAGCCATGGCTGTTGCCGAAATTGACAGGAAAGAACACGCAGAGAAATTGGCCAAAGAGATTGGAATTTCTCGTCGGCACATTGTTTTTATTCTGTGATGCTCGGTCAAAATAGTGTTCAGGGTGGATCAACCTCAGTGATCTCTGTTTCAAATAACATCAGTTGAATTTCTGTTCGTGATGAAATGGTTTACAATTCCAAGACATATGTTTGAAATGGGGTGCTTTACGAAATTGCTTGAAACCATCGTCGACAAGAGTTTGCTTTGCGCAAATCTCCTGGATTCTATACAATGTCGTGAGTGACAAGTAGTCTTTCAACCAGTTCTCTGTTTTGGTTCTGTCAGTGCTGGTTCACTCAATATTTTCATCAGAAATCAAAATTATGGATTGACACACTTATTTTCGATATGACTTTTCATCAACATCATACGGATCTCCAATCAATATAGTTAAAACATCCTATTCTATCTTCAAACAAGTTCCAGCAAACACAGCTAACAAGGCCTCTTGACAAGTACATAATACACCACAGGGACATAATTAAGCTAGTATGCACCTTTATCAGGTGATGGTATGGGAGTGGAGTTGCTACAACAGCACCTGGCTCCTGAGCGTTTCCTTCGCGCTGGTGAGAGGTCGACTCAGCTGCGGGCGGTGTTTCCTGCCACTACCCCAGCAGCCTTGACCACACTGGCCACCGGCGTGTTCCCCGGGCAGCATGGACTGCCGGGCTGGGAGCTGCGAGATCAGAAGGCCAGGGTTTTAAGGGCCCCATCCGTGTCCACTTGGGGAGCCTAGTAGGGTTCGCATTTTACCTCTAGCAGACTAGGCTCTAGCGCCTGAAGATGGGTGTTCGGGGTATTTGTTTGGGGCATGGTGAGTTTTTGTTCCCTTCTCTTGTGAATCATGGCTTTGCTTCCGGAAGTTATGGGATGCCGCCTTTGTGAAAAGGACCATTCTTGCCATGCTTTCATCTGTTGTTCGCCTGGCGGAAAGGTGGGGGGCCTGAGGCCTGCGAGTTTCCAAAGGAAGGGATTCACAACCACATCCAGCTCACTATTTTGGACTCCGTGGTGCGTGACATGCGTTCTGGCAAACCTGCGTGCGATTTAGGATTTAGCAAGCAAGAGATCTACCTCCAGGAGCCCTGGGTGGCTAGGGGCCAGTCCAATCGGAAGATGAAATTTGTCAATGCGTACAATGGCACTGACTTCACCGAATGGTACCAAGACAAGTACAGGGAAGACATCATGACAATTCAGGAGACTGCATATGAAACTCTCGGAAAGCCCGAAGGGTCGCAGCAGGCAATTCAATACTTCAACAATGGAATTGATTGCATCCTTCGGAGTATTGATGAGGCCGAAAAAAATGATTGGAAGTCCTTCATATACATGTACACCTCACATCCTGACAAGCATATGCATGAACTGGGCATTAGCCACCATGAAGTGACCAACGTGCTTTGCGGCATCAGCGATGGCCTCGAGCGTTTGTGGCAACGATTAAAGATGCTGGATGTCGCATTGCTGGTCACGGCCGACCATGGTCATGTCACAGTTGAACCGGACGATATGGTGGTTTTGCCACAAAGGCTACTGGATTGCTTGGAGTACGCGAATGTGGGAGTGCATGGAAAAGGACGTCACGCCTTCTTCCATTGCCGAAGTGGACGCCAGGAGGAGTTTCAGCAGGCTGCGTTTAGGGTCATCAGAAACGGACGAAATATACCCCTTTGCATATTGACAAATGCTGATGCATAGCTGTCTCGGCAACGAAAGCTATACAACCTCTCCGCTGACAATATCTCTTGTTCAGCAAGAAACATGGGATGTCCCCCACCTGTAAGAACATCAGGTCGATGTCTTATGCAATGTCTATCCGTTTATCATTTAATAGCAACTCTCATCCATTTCAACAGTTTAAAGATGCCTTCAGGCCTGGCATCCAAAATCTGTTAATCTTCCATAGGTTTTTACCATTTTTATCCATGGATTTTTCCATCTGCCAGGCCTGGGATGTGGAGCCATCCCTGAGCAGCTTCATCCTCCTTCCCATCGACGTGGCGGTGGAGGAGGGACTCTTTGGCCCCGATGCGCCGTTGCCCCCGGCGCGGGCGCGGATGGGCGATTTCCTCGGCTTGAGCACCACGGCAAAAACCTTGGTATCGCCAAAGGAGTCTTGGAGAATGAGGAAAACCATAGGAAAACCATAGGAAAACCATGGAAAAAAATGAAAAAAGTCTTGGTTCTAAGTTTTTTTAATGGATTTTGATGGATTTTTATCGAGGTAAATCCACCCTTAGGTTTTCACAAAGTCATCCAGCGTCAGGAAGCGTCGCGATTCGGAAAATCAGAGACTTCACCTGGTCTGAAGCAGGGGGCCCATGGATCCTTGACACCTGCAGAGATGAGGATTCCCTGGTGCTTGTGGGTGCCTGGAGCCTGAAATTCGCCAGGAAATGTGCAGATCTGGTGCAATTTGTTGGGTCCAACATCCCATTTTTGGCTTAAGAAATTTGAGCCAGTTGAACGATTCGTGCTTCATTCTTGGATGGATGCTGCTTGAAAGAAAGTGCTGGGGCACGGTCATGGTGGCTCGTGTGATGTGAGATGTGTTGATGACTCAACAGACAGGTCAAGTAGATACAGACAAAGTGACCAGAAACTTTCGAGTATTACAGCATTGTTAGCAGTGCAATTTGGCATTTCATTTTATATGTACCAAGGATCCCAATGTCAATGAGGTGGCAACTCCTCATGATTATTTTGGAATATTTTGGAACCCAAGGGGGCGCAGGATTCACACTCGAGTCACTCGAGAGAAGTCAGACATACAGACTGCTAGCTTGCCTCTCTTGAAAGTGGGATGAACGCATGTCATTAATGTGCTGTGTGGTGCATAGGGTTCCTGCTGCCTCTACGTGAGTATCAAATTCGCACTGCTGCCGGCTGAACGGTCATGTGCGGTGTGCGTCCCCTCCGATGCTTGACAAGAATTGCTGGTAAAACTTGTGGTTTGGAAGATTGCAAATGAGGGAAATTTGAAATACGGTACATTGTACATCCTGATTTCTCATAATATGGATAGATGAAGCCAAAGTGTCCGCAGATGGGATAGTATAATAACTCCGGGCCTTTCATTTTGGCTTGGCCTGCCTCTGTAACACTTCCAATGTATTGACAGCCCAGAAAATGATAAGAGTAAAAAAACGACAACACGACTTGGGGACATTTACTGTAAAATGATACCAGGTTTTTGTACAACCCCAGATGGCTTCATGTGGCCCATTTCAGTACAATCCAAATGCATGACAACCTTTGAGGTTCTGCACTGGGAATCTTCCTCCAAAGCATGCAAATCTGTGCAGTTGGAAGGTTTGTCTTGGTATGATCCCAAATCCATTCGAACCATCATTCCTTCTTTCTGCCAAGATAACACGGACAATCATTTTGGCCGTTGCGTTTCTTGCAGTGTCCAAGACTTTGTTGAAATCGAGCTCAGGGCCTGTGTGAGCTTTTCTTCGCAAGTTTGGTTCTAAACAGTTTTGCAGAGCAAACGAATGTCCTGCGTTGGTGTCATTTGGTTTCCCTGGTCCAACGATGTGATCCTGAGGATAACGTGACCAATTGACTTTGGCTGGTTCCGGCCTTAGGGAGAGAATGGCCAATCCCAAATGGAAGGGGTTATGAACTTGTGAGGAACTCCAAGCTCCTGGTAGCTCGAAGTTGAAAGGTACTTGGCTTACATGTGACATCATGTGACTATGGTCACTTTCAACGACAAATATCTTTGCCGTACTTGCAATGTTTCGGAATCTGTCGATGGAAACAGTCTGCAGTTTGCTGATCCAACTGAGGCCAAAGGATTGAACTGACGGATTACCCATGCCGTTGACAAGGCAGCTGCTGGTTAGCTGTTGCCAGGTGGACCAGTTGGTGGAAAGTGGAGCTCATCTGGGGTTCCGTATGGTTGACCCTTGGTGACTTTAGAACGGAGGTCAGCCCCTTCCTTAAGGGAGTGAAGGTGACACGTTTTTTCACTTTTTTCATGGATCCGTTGAACCCGATATAGGTCCTCCGAACTTGCTTCCCAATGCCATGCAAGTGGCCTGCACTAAGCTCCTGATAGTCGCAGATTGGTAACTGAAAACCCTTTCTCCCTTTGGGTAGTCACCGGGTAGTCGGGTAGTCAAGACAGTTTGACCAGATTCCATGCCTCTTTTGGTGTTCCCAGCTTCGAGACTTCCCGTGACTTACCCATTTCACCTGCCCATGGCAGTTACTTTTCGGCCGGCGAATGGACCTCAGAAGCCTCCACCGCAATCTCTGTGGACATCGTAACTCGGACGCATGACCAGGATGGTCGAAATGGCTGGGTCACTGGATCATCACATATTCCCCCTAAATGGTCACATTAATATGTGTAAATTCCGTACCAAACCATGGTTTCTGATGGTTTCTGGGATTATTGAAATACGATGATACCTTCGAAATAACAGTAGTTAGTGAAGTGATGATACTGACAAAAAACACAATGATCATCATGACCCTGGTAATGAAAAAAGATAGCATTCCGTATGAACCTGCTTTGTCAATCTTGATTTCTGACAGGTGTGGGCGCCGAGTCATGACTTGCTCATTCACTGGGGAAGTGGAAATGTGTTGGTTTTGGGCTGTGTGTTAGACTCAAATTAGCATATCTTGACATGAATGTAGCAAATTCCTGAATCCTGACATAGTAAACTTGCATCTTGAGGGTTTCTGAGTCCGAGCCAAAGACCCCCATCCCAGTTCTAGTTGACAAGTGCAGGTACTTTGCAGACTTGATTGTTTTTGAAAGATACGGCAGGGTCAGAGCCTGACAGAGTCCGAGACAGAGTCCCCAAGTTCCAGTGCGACTGAGGTGATGGTAGTCGTTATAGGTTGCTGTCTTCTAGCCTGGTGCTCTGATATCTACAGGCCATGACTGTGCTGACTTGCCAGTGTCGCCTCAGCTGATGCACGCACTGCCGTGGTCTGATTTAGCTTGAGATTTCAGTCATTTCAGCCGATTGGCCGATTGGACCTCAAAACTCGGATGGAACGGTGGAACACGGTGGACCATTTTCTTGCAGAGACTTGTGCTGCTTCAGCCAGGCTTTGTCCCGGTTGGGGTGCTGTCCGCCGCTTTGACAGCGATGGAAATGAGGACCGCAGAGCCAAATCTGGGGATTCCCTTGAGGCTGATGGAGGCTGATCCAGAGGGCAACCTCACAAGAATCGAGACATTCTTTGAGGTGGTTGAAAGATGTTGACAGTTGTTTTTTCTTGTTTTTCTTTACAACACATATGGACTTTCCACATTTGTAGCTTCTTTTGGATGATGCTGCATATGGTTTCACGACATGTTCTCGTTTTGGATGAACATGCAAATGAATCACTATGGGGGTTCTTGGTGATAGAGCCGTGCGTGCATTTAGCATATTTGTGAATCTCCATATATGGTGTGTGTCTTACATGGAGAATTTCTATACAGACAAGAAAATAAAGAAAGTGGGGCTCCGAGCCATGAAAGTTTGAGGATCAAAGAGCGAGAGAAACTTTGCTTCAGAAAGAATACGACCGCAGAGAGGTCCAAATTCGGCAGTAACGGAGATGGGGGTTGAATGGCAAGTTATGGACAGGTGATGACTTGAAACTAGGCTTTACTGGGACTGTCACTTGACGGTCTTTCGGTTTGACAGCCCGTTATGTAAGGTGACAATAGGTGACACAGGTCACTTTTGGATGTCAGAGGATTCTGTCTAGTGGCTTTGACCTCCGCGGTAGAGATAGCACGACTTCGAAGTTGTTCATTTCAAGCCATGAGCTATTCAAAGACATTAATAAATGTCCTGTTTTCACTGGTTGGTTGCTTGATAGAGGGGTAATCCCCGCAGGAAGAACCAAAAGGCGAATGGATGTAAATTGCATGCTGAAGCAACCTGTCCATGTTCCCCATGAGGACATTATTGATATGAGAAGTCTCCATAGTACAATGGCAAAGGGGAGGGCAGGTCCTTTTCTTTCCAATTGCGTCACCCAGAGTTGGCCCCAACTGTGGATGAAACTGGTTGGTCTGAGGCCGCGGCTGTGGAATCCACCGCAGCACCCAAGCTGTATGGATCTCTGGGTTGGACAGCCCAGACGGATGCGCAGCGAGGTCATGAGGGACTGCCACCCTTCCTATATAGTCTCAAATTAAGGTTGAGGTTTATAGATTTATAGATATGATTTATCATGATCTATCATGATTTATCATGATTTATCATGATTTATCTGATTTATGATGTTGCGTGGATGTAGAATCTACGGACATCAAAGGGAAACACAACTCACAGCTGTTTTTATCTCCGGGGATCTGAGGTGCTCCAACTTGGGGCGTTTTGGAGTCGCCCAACCAGCAGGAGTCCATTGTGGATCATCCCGTGGGGACACCAAAAACGGCGCTAGCGATGGGAATTTCACCCCTGTCGATGTTAACAGTGGATTAACTAGGTGTATCTAACAGTGTATCATAGTGTATCATAGTGTATCTAACTAGATGTTAACTAGGTGTATCTAACAGTGTATCTAGGTGCATCAACCACTGTGCTTGAATCTTTTTATGGACTCTTGTTGGTCGCTTGCCCAATAGCCATGAAATTCCTGAAACACCATGGAAGTGCATCTTCAATGCGTCCGGGATTCTGTAAATCACCTGAGGAACAAAGCTACAACATTCCTTTTTATCCATCGTTTCCTTGACATACTATTGGAACATAGTGCCTGGTGCCGTTTCCATTGGGTTTCATGGATCTCCTGGCTCCACCATCCATCCATGAAGCACATGAAGCACGAGTTTAAGGGTGGTAAGCCTGGTAAGCCACTCGGATACTGTACCTGTATCCACTTTCCCAGTTATCACGACGGTGCAGTACGATCTTTCCCAACTTCACTGTCTTCAGCTTCACTCCTTTACCCACAAACTAGAAGACATGGATTATGTGCATTTTCCGATCATTTTCCCAATGTTCTCCAGGATGGTTGAAAGTCATCAGATCCCACGGTAGGGGGCCGTGTGCTGGGAAACCAGGTCTACGGCCAGGTGAAGGTTCGTGATGGCTTCGAAGCGACTCAACAACTGCGCCGGGACTCCACGCCACTGGGGCTGAAGCTGTGCTGTGGGTGGCAGGGGACATGGTAATTTTCAACAGACATGGCTGCACTTTTTGATACTTTTTGAAGGTTCAAGGAATTTTAAATAATTTTAAGCAAGATTTCTTTGGACGAGGTCAGGTTCACAGAATCAGGCAATGACTGTCATAAATCTGAAGCCGGACAAGAAATGAGTTTTATTGCTAACTCAGGTAGTAATATAACTATATGAGATATAATCATATAATAATATATAACCATATACTATATAACATTACAATATATAACTAAATAATAAATAATAAATATAATATATATATAATATATATATATATATGATATATATATATACATACATAATATTGTAACTATGATGATTCATGAATCCCCATGAATTATGAATATATAACCTATAAGTCCGCTTGGAGAATTCTGAGCCTGCACTGAGGTGGTGGGCCAAAGACGAGCGCTACTTCATGGAAGAAGCCAAGCTTCGCCGTGGTGAGGTGCCACCGTGTAGAGGTGATTTGCTTGAGGCTCTCCGTGATACAAATAAAAGTTTCATCATTTTCCCCTTGGAAGTGCAAGTTGTTGACTGTTGTTTCACACTCTAAGATTTCTAAGTTGTTCACTTTCTTCCATTTGTTGTGGCTACATTCGGCTACATCGGCTCTGACGGGGTCTTTCCCATGTGAAAGGGATGATTTGGAAGCGACCCAACGCTCGACGTGCAGTTAGTGGTGAACGAGCGCTTCGCCAAGTTGGCAGGGAGCAATATTTGAGGCGCAGGCCCGGGTTTGAATTCTGCCAAAAACGTCGAGGTTTGATGACGTTTGACGTTTAACATATGTCAAAGGTTCAAATTGTCTCATGTACGGAGCTTTTTTTTGGGAGGAGACACAAATTGTAGCCGGCAATGGTTTTTTTTCCATTTTTTCCCACCGTGTCTGCTTCGCTCTTGGAGTTCCAGCAGGTTTGGCCTCACGTTTTGCCTCTGGCCCCTGGTGATGCAGCCGGAGAATGCTATGAGGTCATTCCGGTTTGCACAGCTCGCCACGCGAAAAGGGTGCGCTGAAGCAGTGGAATTCCAAGAGATTTATCGAAGTGCCTTGAAAATCCTTGAAATCAGTTGGGAATTCAAGTCTGGACATAATTCCAACTTTGTTCTGACCAAAAAGTCCGTGACAAACCTCCCAGTTCTCAGGGAATCTTGAAGATTGGCGCCGCACCCCGCAGCCGCAGTGGCTGCCATTCATACAGCCTTTTGTTTTCTCCATCGTGTGGAAGAAGCGGAGCAATGGTTGCAACCTGGATGGGAAGCGCGTGCTGGGTGAGATTCTGCAGTTTGTTTACTGGAACCACACCCTGAACAACTTGCTATCCCTGCCAGTGCCAGCTGATTCCTTAGTAGGATCCAATTTAAAATCTTATCTCACCCAAGGGTTCAAAACAACAGGACTGGAGGAAACCCTTGCATGCTCGCTTATTCAGCCCGTTCCCGAACTCGCGAAACCCAAAGCAAAATTTGATCCGGAGTGCAGATTCCAGGTCAGGTCCCAAAAGGTTCCCAAAGCAAAGTCTCTGAGCGGTGGTTAAGGCTACACGCTGATGTTCCCTTGAAACCCTTGAAATTCTGATCACTTCTCTGTATGTAATCAGATGATATTGGCATTAGCTGCAAAAACCGTTGGATTTCCAGAGGTGTGATGGCTCCTACCGCTACTCTTGAATCTGAGGCACAGTGTGGAGCTCGTGCTTTCATCATCGACGAGGGTGCAGATGAGAATCTTTGCTGCTTCAAGACTTACATCTCCCCCTTTTTCTTTGTTTGAAGAATGGCAAACCCTGGCCAACCCTCCCCAACAGTATACAATTTTTGGATATTTTTAGATATTTCTGGAATCGCCTGTGGAAAGACATTTCTTGGTCAAACCGAACGGGCTGAATAACTGTAGCGATTCTGAGCTTCTGAAACCATCCCTGCGACCGAAGCAGCTGTGCAGCTGTCCGGTTGATCTTTAGGGTGAAGCCCCAGTCCAAAAAGTTCAGTTTGTTCTTGCTTTCGACAGTGCCGTTTGAATCGCTGTCTTGTTGATTCGTTTGGACAAATATTTGCAATATCCTGGCAGGCAGTTCACTTTCGATATACATGTAATCATCGGCAGTGATATTGAAGACCAGTTTTTTCAGATTGTAGATCTGCAATTCACAGTAGCACCATCTGCAATTCGTAAACTGTTTGCAGCGTTGAAGTTTTAGACAGAGCTTTGCACATATGACTCCAAGCCGGGATGAGATTGGGTGTTTTTTGCCCATGTTTGATGCCATGGCCCAGGAGAGAGTTGCTTGGTGTTGTACAGGAGTTTGAGGTCTTAAAAGAAGTCGGCGTGTGCCAAGTCCCGCTGATCTTCCTTTTGGTCCAGGGCTCAGCAGCGCCGCGTGACGATCTTGCAGAGCTAGACCGCCTCGGCAGTGCTTCAGTCGAGATGACGCGCACCATCCTCTCAATGCCGCAGCCCATCTATGGCCTTGCTCTTGGTGAGACGCTTGGCATCTCAACCAGAGGGTGGAATTGGAAACTGCAACTGGTGGCGCGATGTCTTTCAATTTCTTTGGTCGTTTTGAGCTCTTCAGTCCTTCATATCAACAAAAACAGCTCTATATATACAGGGTTTTGCCACTGTGTGCAGAGTACCAGCCACAACTCAGGATTTCATCCACGGGAGCCATGATCTTGGATGCTTGCGATTGCATTCTTTCCGACTTGCCACATGAGAATCTGGTCAGCCGTGTTTTACACCCCAACGAGATTGCCCTTGCAGCTCGATGGAACTAGTTGTCCTGAAGTGTCACTGGCCAAAAGGGGCTGATATAGGGACATACCAAACAGGCAAATGAAAGAACAGCCAGAATCAAAGAAGCTTACTCTGCGGGAGAACCTAGAATTTCAACAAGCTGCAAGCTTTGTTTAAAGATTGGGAAAACATCTTATTGTCTTCTGGGACAGAGTATCTCTGAGATTCATCACATCCTCCAACAGGACACTCTCAGCAACCTTTCAGGACACATGACGCCGGGTTCTTCAAGATTCAAGGTCCCATATTTGATTGGCTTGGCATGGCTGTGACCCTCCAAGATTCACTTGTCGATGCTATCGCGGTGTGGAAATATCCCTGGATTTTGTTTCAGTTACTGAAAGTTACTGGTCCCTGAGGTGTGCGAGATCCTTTCGATGGAGGTGGCAAACATGAACTCAACAGAGGTGGAGAAAGTGAAAGAATCTTGGTCAGAAAACGAGGATCTTGCAGAAGAAATATATAGAAATATAGAGCAAAATAAACTTATCTTCAAGGTCCGAACAAGTTGAAGGCATGATTCAACATGATTCAACTGCCAATGGTTCCAGCCAGTGTACAATTTCCTGAAGTTGCTCCTCTGCACACAAGTTCTGGCAAGGAGCGGCTTCACTGGAAAAAGCTGAGCAGCCGTTTTCCCGCTTTGGCCAAAGCCAGGTGTGGGTTCAGTGTGATCAATCCCCCAACTAGAGCTGAAGCGAAGTCCCAACATAGGAGAACTGGCTGCTTGAAATGTCACGAAAGCTAGCTTCTGCTAGTTAAGTCACTTAAGTACCTCTTGCTTTAGCAAGGTATTGGCAGGGGCCGGAATCGCCAATCACGTAAAACTTCACAGCAAAGTACCCTGCCTGGCTGCGTTGGAAGCCATTCCCGTGGGCCATGGTCGCCGTCGTCGTCGTCGTCATCATCATCATCATTAGCAGCAGCAGCATCATCACCACCACCACCATCATAGTCACCGCAGCAGCTTCGCTAGCAGCATGTCTTCATTGTTCAGATCTTTGTGGATGCATTTCTTGTTGATAGGAGCAATCTCATCATCTTCACCCTTCTGCTCCTCCTCGCCCTCCTCTTCCTCCTCATTGCACCCACCCCCTGCTAGCTTGCGTTCCTTACCCCTTGGCCTCAAGTCTGAAGTTGAGACAGGGTTTGGAGGCTTCTTCTCTGTAGAGCCTCCAGTTTCCCTGCCCCAAATGGCAGGTGCTCTCAAGGTTGCCTTCAGCCTGACACCGCCATTTCCGCGACGCTGGATCAGGCTCAAAAAGCCAACTTTGTTGAGTGCTTTTGGAGTGAGATAGGACTGTTTCCAACAGAAAATAAGAAGAACTAGACATGCGTGCAAGCTACCGGTCACGTACCAACTGAAGCTCCCATGATCTGATATCTGCAGGCAGTCTTGCAAGGCCTCTTGGCAACATGTCATACAATAAGCACAGCAATATCAGGGCGACGCGGATCACATTGGATAGTATACATATGTATACATAAGCAAAGCCACAAAAGACTCTTGGCAACTTGGCAGGTAAGATTCTTGCCCGGTCAGCGCATTGTGATTGACATGTGAGTGCCCAACTAAGAAGAAGTGCCTCTGATGGCCTCTGATAGCCACCTCATGGCCTGTCAGAGAAATCGATGGATGACATGGATGACATGGATGATACAACATGAAATGACCAGATTGATTTGGGATGACAGGTTTGGCTTTTTGGCAGAGATGTCGATTTCTCATATGATGACAGGATTTTCCGGTTGCAGAGATTTCAGAGTCTTTGAATTGTAGCCACAATTGCAATGACATGTGGCTGTGAGTTGGATGGAGTGGAACGTTTGTTGGACGAGCATTGCACAAAAAAACACATGTGGTTCATTTCTGGGATGTTTTTATAATTTTTATAATTTTAATATGACTATATCTGACTTAGTCTGACTGACTTTCCAGCAGTATGACTGTCCAGCTTTTCACAAACACTTTTCGAATGCACCTGCGCACGGGTTGAGCCTGTCAGCATGGAGTGTTGGCCTGCAAGCGCGAATTTTAGCGCTTGCACTCTGCGCAACCCGCTGGGTGCAGCCACCGACAGAGCTCAAATATCTTAAATGGAGCCAAGGCAATCATGGCAATCATGGCAATCATGGCAGTGGCAGGATCAGTTTGTGAATGTTTAAACTGTTTGTGATTAATCATGGCTGTCATTTGCCCTAGATTTGGATGATCTCAATTTGTTTACATTGTAAGTCAACTGCTGGATTTTAGATGCCACATGTTTTTGGCTTGATCACGTTTGTTGCCAAGCAAGATTTTGAGCGCGGCTGCTGAGTCTGTTGGAGGGCAATCTTTCTTCATTCCATGGAGGCCAATGCCTATGCAATCAGCTGATCGCGAGAGGAGTTCGTTGAAGATACCGTCTACTGTATCTCGTTCATAGCTGTGCCTGGGCACAGGCGGCCTTCCTGTATCAAACCCTCTAGCTGTCTTGTTTCAACATTGTTGTTTTCATATGTTGGTGTGCATGATAAAGGATGATCAGCATCATATACAATGTATATAATATATATATGATATATATATATATATATACATCCATACATCCATCCATACATCCATGCATACATACATAGATGCATACATACATACATACCTACCTACCTACCTACATACATACATACCTACATATTTAAGGGCTGCCGCCCCTGCCGCCGACCCCGGTAAAGAATCGGGGATTGCTGGTGTCCAAAAACGATGTGGAAAATACGATGATCAACTTTATTTTTTTGGACTTTGCAACTGTTCGAGAAAGTTAAACAATATCTGACAAAATATACCTGACGCAGATGACTTCTAGGCCTTCGGCAGATGCCGCAGTGTTCCAATTTCTTCAAAGGCTGGTGAAACAGGCAAGAGCCGTGTGATGAGAAACTTTGGCAAATGCATCACATCACATGCAGGATCATGCACGAACGGCTATGTCAGTAACTGGTGCAGCTTTCGGATCAATCGCAGTTAGGTGCTGGCTGCATGACAAGACAGTTGATAAGAAGCTTGCTCTGAACCCAACAACACATCTATGTGCATTTGTGCCGAGAGACATAAGACCAAATTGCCAAAAGCTATCATGACAAGAAAGCTTCAGCTTAGTTGGTGCCATAAGATAGCTACACAACTTTTTTTTGGATTGAAGCTATTCTATAAAATGCATAGCCCCTATCATTTTTCCACCTTTTTAAGAGCTGCTGGCTGCTGCTAGCTTGCTGCTAGCTGCTGTACTGCTGCCGCTGCTGCTAGCTGCTGTACTGCTGCCGCTGCTCTTACTGCTACTGCGGCTGCTGGACTCACTGCTGCCGCTGCTACTGCCACGGCCGCTGCTCTGGCTGCTGCAGCTCCCGGCAGCAAAACACCATGGCCCTAAAGGACGAAGCGAGTCCAAAATATACGTTTCCCGAGGCCGGAACGTCCCTTCTGAATCCTACAAAAAAGCTTGCTGCTGGTGCGGAAATATAAGTTTTTACCTTTTTAAGAGCTGCTGGCTGCTGCTAGCTGGCTGCTAGCTGCTGCACTGCTGCCGCTGCTCTTACTGCTACTGCTGCTGCTGGACTCACTGCTGCCGCTGCTCTGGCTGCTGCTGCAGCTCCCGGCAGCAAAACACCATGGCCCTAAAGGACGAACCGAATCCAAAATATACGTTTCCTGGGGCCGGAACGTCCCTTCTGAAATCCTGCAAAAAGTTTGCTGCTGGTGCGGAAATTATCAGCTTTTTACATTTTTAAGAGCTGCTGGCTGCTGCTAGCTGGCTGCTAGCTGCTGCACTGCCACGGCCGCTGCTCTGGCTGTTGCCGTAGCTCCCGGCAGCAAAACACCATGGCCCTAAAGGACGAACCGAATCCAAAATATACGTTTTCCGGGGCCGGAACGTCCCTTCTGAAATCTTACAAAAATCTTGCTGCTGTTACGGAAATTATCATTCGTTTTACATTTTAAGAGCTGCTGGCTGCTGCTAGCTGGCTGCTAGCTGCTGCACTGCCACGGCCGCTGCTCTGGTTGCCGCAGCTCCCGGCAGCAAAACACCATGGCCCTAAAGGACGAAGCGAGTCCAAAATATACGTTTTCCGGGGCCGGAACGTCCCTTCTGAAATCTTACAAACAGCTTGCTGCTGCTACAGAAATTATCACTGCTTTTACATTTTTAAGAGCTGCTGGCTGCTGCTGGCTGCTGCTAGCTGGCTGCTAGCTGCTGCACTGCTGCCGCTGCTCCTACTGCTACTGCTGCTGCTGGACACTGCTGCCGCTGCTACTGCCACGGCCGCTGCTCTGGCTGCTGCTGCAGCTCCCAGCAGCAAAACACCATGGCGCTAAAGGACGAAGCGAGTCCAAAATATACGTTTCCCGGGGTCGGAACGTCCCTTCTGAAATCCTACAAAAAGCTTGCTGCTGCTACGGAAATTATTTTTATTTTTTACCTTTTTAAAGAGCTGCTGGCTGCTGCTAGCTGGCTGCTAGCTGCTGCACTGCTGCCGCTGCTCTTACTGCTATTGCTGCTGGTGGACTCACTGCTGCTGCTGCTACTGCCACGGCCGCTGCTCTGGCTGCTGCTGCAGCTCCCGGCAGCAAAACACCATGGCCCTAAAGGACGAACCGAGTTCAAAATATGCGTTTCCCGAGGCCGGAACGTCCCTTCTGAAATCCTACAAAAAGTTCGCTGCTGCTACAGAAATTATCAATTTTTTACCTTTTTAAGAGTTGCTGGCTGCTGCTAGCTGGCTGCTAGCTGCTGCACTGCTGCCGCTGCTCCTACTGCTACTGCTGCTGCTGGACTCACTGCTGCCGCTGCTATTGCCACGGCCGCTGCTCTGGCTGCTGCTGCAGCTCCCGGCAGCAAAACACCATGGCCCTAAAGGACGAAGCGAGTCCAACATATACGTTTCCCGGGGCCGGAACGTCCCTTCTGAAATCCTACAAAAAGCTTGCTGCTGGTGCGGAAATATCAGTTTTAACCTTTTTAAGAGTTGCTGGCTGCTGCTAGCTGGCTGCTAGCTGCTGCACTGCTGCCGCTGCTCTTACTGCTACTGCTGCTGCTGGACTCACTGCTGCCGCTGGTACTGCCACGGCCGCTGCTCTGGCTGCTGCGAAGCCACGAAAGGGCGCCGAAAAACTGCCTAACGTGGCTTCTGAAATCCTATAGCAAACTAAGCTAGAAATAAGCTCAAAACTTCCACCTTCCAAGCCGCCAAAACACGGGATCCGCCAGCCTCAAACACCATGGCAGTGAAGGACGAAGCCACGAAACGGCGCCGAAAAACTGCCTAACGTGGCTTCTGAAATCTTATAGCAAACTATTAGCTAGAAATAAGCTCAATATAGCAAACTAAGCTAGAAAAAAGCTCAAAACTTCCACCTTCCAGGCCGCCAAAACACGGGATCCGCCAGCCTCAAACACCATGGCAGTGAAGGACGAAGAAGCCACGAAACGGCGCCGAAAAACTGCCTAACGTGGCTTCTGAAATCCTATAGCAAACTAAGCTAGAAATAAGCTCAAAACTTCCACCTTCCAAGCCGCCAAAACACGGGATCCGCCAGCCTCAAACATCATGGCAGTGAAGGACGAAGAAGCCACGAAACGGCGCCGAAAAACTGCCTAACGTGGCTTCTGAAATCCTATAGCAAACTAAGCTAGAAGCTAGAAATAAGCTCAAAACTTCCACCTTCCAGGCCGCCAAAACACGGGATCCGCCAGCCTCAAACACCATGGCAGTGAAGGACGAAGAAGCCACGAAACGGCGCCGAAAAACTGCCTAACGTGGCTTCTAAAATCCTATAGCAAACTAAGCTAGAAATAAGCTCAAAACTTCCACCTTCCAAGCCGCCAAAACACGGGATCCGCCAGCCTCAAACACCATGGCAGTGAAGGACGGAGAAGCCACGAAACGGCGCCGAAAAACTGCCTAACGTGGCTTCTGAAATCCTATAGCAAACTAAGTTAGAAATAAGCTCAATATAGCAAACTAAGCTAAAGAAAGCTCAAAACTTCCACCTTCCAGGCCGCCAAAACACGGGATCCGCCAGCCTCAAACACCATGGCAGTGAAGGACGAAGAAGCCACGAAACGGCGCTGAAAAACTGCCTAACGTGGCTTCTGAAATCCTATAGCAAACTAAGCTAGAAGCTAGAAATAAGCTAGAAGCTAGAAATAAGCTCAAAACTTCCACCTTCCAGGCCGCCAAAACACGGAATCCACCAGCCTCAAACACCATGGCAGTGAAGGACGAAGAAGCCACGAAACGGCGCCGAAAAACTGCCTAACGTGGCTTCTGAAATCCTATAGCAAACTGTAAACTAAGCTACTAGGTACTTTGTAGAAATAAGCTCAAAACTTCCACCTTCCAAGCCGCCAAAACACGGGATCCACCAGCCTCAAACACCATGGCAGTGAAGGACGAAGAAGCCACGAAACGGCGCCGAAAAACTGCCTAACGTGGCTTCTGAAATCCTATAGCAAACTATTAGCTAGAAATAAGCTCAATATAGCAAACTAAGCTAGAAAAAAGCTCAAAACTTCCACCTTCCAGGCCGCCAAAACACGGGATCCGCCAGCCTCAAACACCATGGCAGTGAAGGACGAAGAAGCCACGAAACGGCGCCGAAAAACTGCCTAACGTGGCTTCTGAAATCCTATAGCAAACTAAGCTAGAAATAAGCTCAAAACTTCCACCTTCCAAGCCGCCAAAACACGGGATCCGCCAGCCTCAAACATCATGGCAGTGAAGGACGAAGAAGCCACGAAACGGCGCCGAAAAACTGCCTAACGTGGCTTCTGAAATCCTATAGCAAACTAAGCTAGAAGCTAGAAATAAGCTCAAAACTTCCACCTTCCAGGCCGCCAAAACACGGGATCCGCCAGCCTCAAACACCATGGCAGTGAAGGACGAAGAAGCCACGAAACGGCGCCGAAAAACTGCCTAACGTGGCTTCTGAAATCCTATAGCAAACTAAGCTAGAAGCTAGAAATAAGCTCAAAACTTATTCTTTCCTGGCAGCTGTGTCATAAACTCTTTTTCCCTTACGCACTCCCCCTTGCGTCTGCCGGGGTCGGCGGATATGAGTCCGGATCCCGGATCCCTGGCCCCCCCCCCCAATGGTATGGTCCCCCAAGCTCACGCTCTCGGGAACACGGGACACGGGACCATACATACATACATGCATGCATGCATGCATGCATGCATCCATCCATCCATCCATCCATCCAGATGCATCCATCCAGATGCATCCATCCATCCATCCATCCATACATACATACATACATACATACATACATACACACAGACATACATACATACCTATCTACCTACCTACATACCTACATACCTACATACCTACGTACCTACGTACCTACGTACCTACGTACACACATACATACATTGTCACATACATTGTCACATACATTGTCACATACATTGTCACATACATACATACATACATACATACATACATACATACATACATACATACATACATACATACATACATACATACATACATACATACATACATTGTCACATACATTGTCACATACATTGTCACATACATTGTCACATACATACATACATACATACATACATACATACATACATACATACATTACATACATTACATACATTACATACTTTACATACATTGCATACATTGCATACATTGCATACATTGCATACATAACATACATAACATACATAACATACATAACATACATAACATACATAACATACATAACATACATAACATACATAACATACATAACATACATACATACATACATACATACATACATACATACATAACATACATACATACATATACATATACATATACATACATACATACATACACATACATACATACATACATACATACATACATACATACATACATACATACATACATACATACATACATACATACATACATACATACATACATACATACATACATACATACATACATACATACATACATACATACATACATACATACATACATACATACATACATTGTCACATACATACATACATACATACATACATACATACATACATACATACATACATACATACATACCAACATACCAACATACCACAGGCCACAGGGGGGGGGGGACCAGAAGAACCATACCACCACCACAGGCCACAAGGGGGGGGACCAGAAGAACCATACCACCAGCGCAGGCCACAGGGGGGGGGACCATGGGGGGGGGGCTTGGGAGTCCTGGGTCATATATACATATACATATACATATACATATATATATATATACACATACACATACACATACACACACACACATACACATACACATACACATACACATACGTACATACATTACATTACATTACATTACATTACATTCACAAGAAAGCGTCATGTATGGCACAGTCATAGTTGCAGTGCCCTGCGTCTCATCCATGCCATGGACGCATATTGCGCACGTGTGCATTGTTGCAGACATGCAGACTTTCCAAATCTTAACCTTGCCCCATGTCGCGCACTTCACCACATCTTTCTGACTTTCTTCAAGGTCAATCATGACTGATGATATTCATTGCATTCCATTCCGACCCTTCAGTACCAAGCTCTAGAGGATTGAAGACCGCTCAGATGACACCAGTTGACCCCAGTCCATTGGTGCTCAAGAATTTCAGGCATCTCTCACCATTTTGCACTGCCGGTCGATCTTGGCATGGTAACTGAACTCTAGACTCTAGACGCTAGTCTAGAAAAGCTATCTAGAAAATCCCAGAAACCCCTTGTTCTCAGAACCTTGGATTTCAGCCAGCTGTAGTTTGGGGCTGTGAGAAGGGGGTATAATTATCATCCAAAGTGAGCTGCGGTCATTTTGCATCTCTGGAGTTTTGTATTCTAACCACTTTGCAACTTACTGGGGACAACTGGTTCAATTCGAAGAGCAGAGTTTGAAGATTCCAGAGGCTGAAGCTTTCGTCATGACATGTCGTCGGGCGTTCCAATTTAAGAGTTTTTCTCCACAACAACACAGGACCAATGATGGGTCATTTCACATGTTTTACAAAGAAAATGCCTCAAAAATGTGGAAAAACTTCGGCTTCTATGAGCGAAAAGCTCGGCTTGCAAAATCTTGCATGCCTCCTTACTGGTTGGGCCATTTCAGTGGATGCTGATCTGCGGAACGACCACAACTTTCCAACTTTGCCTCAAGATCGAAGGAACTATCTTCTCTGGAGGGAGAGCATACCGGTGATCTCTATCTAGTTGGGTGCACACAAAAAAAATGGGTCATCTGCTGCCATTCGATCATGGAGCATGCCCGAGCCATTGCACATCGGATTTTGGGGTACCCGGGTACAACCCATGTGAAGCATCAAGCCCAGCTAGGAAACTTGAAACAAATGAGTTGTTATGATGTTGGTATTGATATTAATGGATATTAATGGGCTTTACCTGGCTATTCATCCAGCCAGATTCGACAGATATCAGAATCTTCTTTGTTCTATATTTTTTTTCGTATCTTTTTATTTGGAGGTCTGACAGTTTTGGCTTCAGATCCGGTAATAATTGGGCTTTGATCAGGCACGATTTTCGAGTTGCTTGAAGATTCACCAATTTTGGGACCAAATCACCACCTTTACCAACCAAGGCTTGGGGGATATGCTATTTGGGTCCAATTAAGGACTACAGATAGGTCAGACATGGTGGGACCACTGTTCGAGTTGGTTCGCCACGGGATTTTCATAAAGTCATGGTCACACCTTGAATACCGTTCGGTCTCTTTGTTCGGGATCCTGGATCACTCCATTCAGCTGACAGGTCAGGCTTGGAAACTGGCCGATCAATATGGAACACTTGTCAACGCAAGCCTTGCCCTGGCCTTGTACCCAGTCTAGACTGCATGCCTCAGCCTTTCAGCTTTGGCTCAATTGCATGTCAAGCCAACTTTGTTTCCAGATCATTGAACCCTGCACTCGGAAAGAGGTCTGTTTGGTACTCGCAGATCAAGTGAACATGACACCCTCACCTCATTCTTTGACACTCAGCCTGACTACGTGTTTCTGTGGCCGGTTCCACGGAGACAGATGCAGTGCGATGAATCCACTTGGTGCGCTTCCCACAATTCCGTAGGGCCGGTAGGGTGAGCGCAAAGGCATCAGTTTTTCACAGCTTGCAGGTGACGACGACCTATGCAGGCTTCAGCTGGGGTTTAGTGTCGGGCTGATGCAGCGAGAAGCACTACTGATCACAATTATCAACCACAATTATCAACTGATCACAATTATCAGACAATATCAGACAATTATGAACCACTGATTGTCAACCAGTTACCAAACGTGAGGACTGGAAAGGTGTCAGGCACAATGTGTCATTGCAGTCTACCTGCCTTGGTAGTTTCCATACAGTGCGTGGTACATGTCTGCCCCCATGATCCTCAAAAAGACAAAGTAAGCGTACTCACATTTTGACATGATTTGACTGTTGCAACATTCCCTCAAAACATTCGAACAACAAAGTGTCGGTTTCATTCTTATTTAACCTGATTAGCCCCAAAAACATTGCTCGGCAATATGCTTCAAAGCATCTGCGCCGCAACATTTTTCCCATCATAAGGATTAGCTGTTGTTCCTGTACTAAAACTCATGACAGAAAACCGAGCTGGGAAGACAGGAACATTGACCGAGTCAGCAACCAACCGAGTCAGCAACTACGAGTCAGCAACTAAAAACAACCAAGGGAAGACAGGGGTTCCAGAACTAAAATTGCTCCATGAAGTCTGCTGAACAGTTTGCCGAATTGGCGAATTTTGGCAACGCGGCAACACCAGGAACTGGGAAACATCCATCCCTGATATCCCTGTGGTCCGATCCCTAGAAGGTGGGCAAATGCCGTATTTTCTCGTGATGGAGTATGAAAGATGAAAGTATGATGTAGTTAATGTATGTTAATGTAGTTATAGTATCCCGCAACGCTTTTTCAGCACGACGGATCCTGACGCTTTGAGCCTTCAAGGCTTTAGAACAGTCCTAAAAGAATTATCAGAACCGCAGGGGCTTGCGATTTTTTTCTGTGGCAATGAGACTTTTGTTTTCCAGCTGGTTAATGCACCTTCACCAAGGGCGGCCAACTGTGAGATAGCATTTCCATATATGTATATATATATATATATTTATATTATATATATACATATTTATGTGATATACGTATACATACCATCCGGCTCATAATTGAGTATCCGTCAAGCAGGATACCAACAGCAGCACGGAGTCGTCGCATGACACAATCATGAGGTCAGCAAGACAGACTTGACAAGACTCATCATACTTAAGTCCCTCTCTTCAGAGGTTCTATGGTAAATGGGAGATGTGAAGACAAGGAAAGGTTTGCTAAACAACACGACTGGCCATGACGGTACGGAGCCTTGAGCTCAGGGAATGTGATTCAGCGTGAATGACATTCTTGAACTTGGGGACCCTTAAAACCTAAACGAGAGTTATTCTGCACCCATGTCGCCCGGTGCTCTACATGCTGGATGCAGTGCGGGACACATGGGCAGCATGGACAATGCGACGTGGCTCAACATGTGGATGACAAGGATGTGACAGAGGACCTTGAAAAGACTAGTCCTGGAGAAACGAAGAGAATGGAACCTGGATGTATCCATTGTGAGGATGTGCCCATCATGCGACGGTCTCAGATCTTCTTTTCACTCAAAAGAAACGTCATCAAGCTACCTGAACATGTTCCTCCAGACGAGAAAACCCAAAAAAAATCACGAAGGATCTTACTGATCTGGAATAGTCTGGGCAATCATACCTTGGCTATCTTGGCCAATCTTGGCTATCCGTCTGTCTTTTACCAAGGACTGCCACCATGCTGTATCCTCGCATCTTTGGTTGGCGCTGCCGCGAGGGGCAAGGCGCTTCGAGGTACTGGATGTCGGATCAGCCCTCCCAGCTGCTCGCCTCACCCGGTAGCCTCAACACAGGTTCGATGTGGTTAAGGATACGTCACTATATTTTAATGTATACATATTAGTTCTCATATTAATACCACTTATACCATTTATACCATTTACCACCCTCAAAAATTTGTCAATGGAAGGTGTGGTACAGAATGTTCAGCCCAAAGAAATCAAGCCCTCCAAGTTCCTCCAAGTCTTCCAAGGTCCATGGTCCAAGCTTCCACCGCTACGCGGCCTTTCTGGGCTTCCAGGTGTGTGACCTTCTTTCTGCACATCAGTCCCATCACATGTTGTCCTCTCTGCTCAAATCCAGCTCTTCCTTGGATCTATGTAATCCCACCCAGTCTTCTTTTATCCTATTGTTATTCTATTCTGTTTCCAGTCCTGTTTCCAATTCTATTCGAATAAATACTATTTCTATTCCATTCTATGCTATGCTATGCCATGTTATTCTATTCTCCTCTCCTTCTATTCTATTCTGATGTATCGATCTATCGGCGTGCGTGGATTATCTCAACATATATATATATATATATCAATCTATATGTGTATCCCTACCCGTCCTATCTATTCGTCCATCTATGCACCTACCTATTGGTGTGACATTGGCCTAGGGACCACTGGATGCGCGGATTGCAGGATAACCGGGCATGTACGATGCAGGATTATGTGGATTGTGGATTGCCGAAAAAGCCAGAATTCGACGATCACTTACAAAGGCTTCAAGGATTTTGCCAGTCTGAGTTTTGTATAGTTTTGTATCATCACGGATGTCGAACATGCAGTTCCTCTTTGTCATGCAGACCCTCCCTTTGCCTGACATTTGCCATCTGCAGGGGATGAGTAGACTACGATCTCCAACATCCTTCGACGAGGCATGGCGGACATTTCACTATGGCCGTTTCCCAGTAGTGAGTCAATAGATTCAATAGGGCCATTGTGACCATGAAAGGGATGCAAGAAATCTGGCAGCCTGTCTGGCAATTGTTGGTTCTCGTCCGCTTGCTGAAGTCCATTATTTTTCATCAATGCAGGTTTGCAGAGATACATAGATGAAAACCAGATATATTGCATGGATGATTCTGGATGATCTGCAAGTCCACTATTGCAGATGAAACCAGAAGAGAGAATCTCAGGTCGCTCCCACAATACATAGCTTCATGCTGCAAGCTAACAACTTCTTGGGTTTGAGCAGTACTGCAGTTTTTTGGACATGTTTTCCCCTTGCATCAGGAAGAGCCGTCGTTTTGGAAGGTCGATTGTGACACAGGGCAAGTGATACCTGGCTGCCGTTCAGTTTTTGGGTACCCTTACTGGCACCTCGTGCCCAAACTGTGATAGACCTCAAAACCAGGTGAACATCTGGGTGTGTCGAGCCTGTTGAGCCAGTTGAGCCACGCTGCACCAAGGAAGGGCTTCGAATATGGGACCCCTCCCCCGCCCCCACCGCCTCCCGAGCCCGTAGAGGGTGCGCCACTGCCACCACCGCCCCCGCCGCCGTTGCCAGGCTGTCTTCCTGGCATCTTGGTGCGGAATTTCCGGATTGAAAATTGGATAATATTGGATGGCTTAGTGAAGACATGAGCAAATTTGTAGGTCCTTTCTTTGATACACCATGAGCCCTGAGTATCCTGAGTACAGGAGGGTGCCCAGGCTGATTTGGAGGGAATATTGAAGTAATCCCACCTGCGAAGCAGGAGTTGTTCTTGTGTCTGCCCGTGTGATCTTTTGAGCTGGATGCCAGGGCATCAATTGTGGGTTCTAATTTTTGAATCAGGGTACCAGGTTTTGACCCATTCCCAGTTAATCAAAAACATCCGTACTTCTAGGTTCAGAATTAATCTTATTGCCATTGATTGCTTCATATTGAACTATATATTATTCCCATTTATAATTCTATGCTAAACAATCCCTATTGAATCCTCTTTATCAAGGACAGTACAGTAGATGAAATTGACTGAAATCGGGGGTTAATCTTTTTAGAAACATCCACATTTGGGTTTGCCCAAGAATGGGGAATACCTGAAATTTTAGTCTGAAATGGCAATTCTAATGACTTCTAGTGAGCAAAAGATGATAAACTGATAAACCATGAGATTTCCCAATACCCCCTCCTCAGACAAACCCATACTCCCAAAAATGCTCATGAATATATGCGGTTGGTAGACACCTTCACCGTGCCCCCACAGACTGAGGTGAGTCGCCAATGTGCGAGCCAGATGACGATGCTCCTCAGTGTCAGCCACCGCCGCCTCCGCCGCCGGCGCCAATAGCACCAGGTGAAGGTGGAGAAAGTGGAGAAAGTGGAGAAAGTGGAGAAAGCGGAGAAAGCAGAGAAGGTTCGCCGAGTTTTTTGCTGCTGCTGTTTTTTCAAGTGTATTTATCATAATCACGAAAGCTAGCTTCCCTCTTGCTTCAGCAAGATATTGGGGGGGCTGGAATGTCCAATCGCATGAAACTTCATACTTAACTACTCCCGGCTGGCTGCTTCACAACAGTTTGGCTGTGGCTCAATCCCCCCCGGGCACACCGTCGGCATGTCGCCACCGGCAGCAAATTCAGCACATCCTCAGCATCATTGTGTTTTCATGCCAAGCTCCCTGCCAAGCTAGCTTTCGTCCCTTACCCCTGTGCCTCAAGTTTTGTTGTATTTTCGTTCTTTTCTTTCATATTCATTATAAGAATCATTAGTTGCTAATCGTCGGTCATTCGTAACTGATGATTAACGAGCAGTTATTGATTTTCTAGTCCTAATTTCAAATAGATATTTATTCGTTATCAATTGAGATAATTTTCATTTATGATGAGCATCACAAGCCTTTGATTGACTTCTTTATATAATCCATTCATGGTGGGGTGGAGGTTGGAGACATTGACAGTATGGATCTTTGGATTGTCATGCTGATGGTGATGGGGTTGGTGCTGTGTGTTTTCGCCCTATCTCCCACTCCAAACGTTTACCTGGTTTACCAAGAGTGCAGGAGTTGCAGCACCAGTTGCAGCACCAGTCGTTCCTCTGCCGCCTCTTCCGAGGGCAAAATGCACTCCTGGTCAGGCAAAATGGGTGCTTCCGCACCTTTGGTTGGTGGGATTTTACTGCCTTTGATTGTTTCCGTTGGTCTCATACCTCCTCAGAATCAGCGCAACTGCGTAGCAGCCGGTTTCGCAATTTGTGGATGCATTCCTTCCAACGTTCATGGGAGCTTTTTGGCTTCGATATTCAACGCCCAATCATTTGCCGGAAGTCTGAAGTGTCAAAAGGGTACGAGCTTCAGCCAGGTTCCAACATCTTGGCGAGCCCCAGAAAGACAAAGATATCACACAGATGTTGAATGATGTTGAAAGGATTGCAAAGGATTGTGTAGATCCGGGTTTCATCATCTCATATCATCTCCAATGGTCAAAACATGTCAAAACGCTTCAACATCGCAGGTGATTCCGGAGCCTTCAGAGCCTTGCCAGATTAAGCAAGGTCTTTGTTGCCACAAGTGCAAAACCAGGGCGGATTGCAAACTTTGCCTCGAATGGAAGGACGGCAGTGACTGTATCGCAGTGGATGACATTCAGCTAATCAGATCTAATCTAATCCAACAGGAGAAATATGGAGAAATGGAGAAAACATGACAAAACAACAGAGAGTTTCTGTGGAATGTGAGTCTTCCTGGAGCCATGGGGATTTTTGATGGATTTCCATAGGAGGTCTTGGGGCAGATCCCGTCCGACATCGACCGAAAGGTGGGGTATGAAGTGATGGTGCTGATGCTGGTGATCGATTTTCCCTTTTTTGGTCCTTACGGAGCACATGATGTCCGAGCCTCTCAGAACAGGGCGCATTCTTGGCCATTCGCTTGAGAGAAAGGCTGATATCTATTCTCAATCCCAAGTGAAACTTCTGAGTTTTCCTTTTAAGATTTTTAAGATGGGGATCAAAAATGATTGAAACATAATATCAAAACCCCTCCAGGGATGGGCGCAGAACATCTGCCCGCCACCCTCGCCGGACGAGGATGACAAGGACCCGTGCCAATGAAACCAGGAAGCCACCATTGATTATTGGGTTATATCCCTGAATGAGCCACTAGAGAGAGCCTTCTTGGTTGGTGTTATTTGGCCACATACTAGCTGGTTGGTTGAGGACTATTACGATTGAGTATTGGAACACGAACGAGAAAACCGCAGGTTTTCTGAAAGGGTGAGCCCTTTGTAGCCTTGTTCAACAATAATAAAGAATCAGTTGTAGAACCCCCGTTTGGCTTAAGACTGCTTTTACCGTTTTGGTGCAGGAGGGGGGGGGGTATTGGTGCACGGCTGGTGCGCGGAAAAGGAAAATAGGGGCAAGGGTGGGTCTGGGGAGGGAAAAATAGGTGCGGGGGTGGGTTCTTGCCAATCTATGGATCCAGTCAGGATCCCGTCGGGACCCAGTCGGGCACCAATTTTTGCATTTTTGGGCACCGCTTTTGGCCAGTCGGGATCCAGTCGGGATCCAGTCGGGATCCAGTCGGGATCCAGTCGGGCACCAATGTCGGGAGGCAGCCAAATTCATAAAAAATAGCATTTTTGCAGTGTTTTTGCATGTTTTTCGGTGATTTTGGCTGCTTCCCGACAGGTCCAAACGTGGTGCCAAAAATTCGAAAATTGGTGCCCGACTGGATCCCGACTGGATCCCGACTGGATCCCGACTGGCCAAAAGCGGTGCCCAAAAATGCAAAAATTGGTGCCCGATTGGGTCCCGACTGGGTCCCGAGTGGGTCCCGACTGGATCCCGACCCGGTTTCTTCAAAAAAACACCTATTTCCTTAAATTTGAGCACCTATTTTTGAAATTTTAGCACCTTGCCGTGCACCACCCCCCCCCCCACCACCAGTCTTAAGCCAAACACGGGCTTGGCAAAGAATCAGCTACAATCTCAGCTACAATCTCAAATCGGTTTCCGCTCCTGTCATCGTTGAAGTTGATGATGTGATTCTTGACTTGGGATCTCTAGAATGGTGATGGAAAATTTACTGACTCCATCAGCTCCCTCAGGGTCCAGCCAAAGGACTTGGACACGGAGTACTTGCTGCCTGATGAGGAGTGATGATGGAAAAAGCTCATGAAAAAGATGGATTTGCGCTGGGAAGGGGGAGAGGAGTTTTCTACCATTCCCAAGCCATTGGCAAAGAGTCTTTAGTGGTTTCGTAGAAGTCACAAGCTGCCATGCAACCTCACAGTGGCGGACCAGCAATTATCTGAACTATATAAAAGGATTTTTGTTGAATGAGGAGCATTCTTTACTTCGCAACCAAGGTGTAGATGGACCGAAGGACTCAGCTGGATCCTCAACTGGATCTGAGACGGTGGGACCATTGAGGTAGCCAGGAGATGTCCCAACCGTTTCCTTTTTCCTTGCGTCAAAACAGATGGCCCCATTGAAACTTGAAATACGTTTCAAAATTAGTGGGATAGCATGAACCTCAGGATTGACTGGCCACTCTCCGGCATCGAAATCTGGCAAGGAGCCATAGATGAAAAGGCTGAGCAGATGCCCGAACCAAAAACAGCATACAGTTCCGAAAAACATTTGACTGCCAAGTTCGCGAACGGGAACCTCCAATGATCTTGTTGATTTGATCGGACTTGAAAGTGGATGGTGTTTTACACTGGACAATGAACTGCACACCACCAAAGATGTCCAGTTTGCAAGAACAACCAACAGATCAGAAGTGTTTTATACGATTGAAAAGGACTGTTGGAGATGCATCCTGTAGCATGACATCAGATGACACCCATTGAATCTGTGCCTAGCAACTGATGCCCTGCCATGGCTAGCTGACAGCGGCATGGAGCGCGGTGATGACGATGCGTCATGGCCCATTCCACCAGAGGTGCCTGTACAGGTGCAGGGCCTGGGAGTTGCGATAGGGAAAAACCGCCCGGTCATTTCAGGAGGTTTCAGGAGGTCCGGACTTTCAGGACTTTTACAAAGTGTATCAAATGAATTCAAATCAATTTATTTTTTCATATTCCGTAAGCAGGGACAAGGTAAAGGGTTTACCTTCTGCTGGGACATTCTCAGGCGGCACCTCCCGAGATGTGCCTTGGATGGGAGCCACATTGGGACCGGGGGTGACAATGGTATAAGACAATGGTATAAGGGTACCATAGGGTACCCTAGTATCTCCCAATTTGTTTTGTTTTGCATTGTTTTACCTTTACTCTTTCTTTTGGGACTGGTTTATTTTGTAAGTATGTGGCTGTAGTTCACTGAAAGCAAGGTGCTTGCCAGAATGGCGTGAGTGTGGGCAAGGTGTAATTGTACAGAAAGAGAGACAAGTAGGAAGAGAGATAGATCCAAAAATGAATGGACAGTTCTCTCACAGTAGGACATGCCATTCATCTTGCTGGAGAGTGCCCTGAAGAAATGTCAGGTCCGATCCAACCAGTACCCCCGGATACCCACGGTCGAAGGGGTCGAAGCACAGGTTCGCCCACATGTTTGAAGAGAAGTTCACAGAGTCTTGGCTGGCTACGGACCTGGATTCCCTGATTGTTGGACATCGAGGATAAATGGTGAAGAAATCAACCGTGGATTGGGCGATAAAGTAGCTGCTATATGCGCATACCGTGACCATCGAGTGAAGAGATGGTGTTTCGGATGGGTTCTGGATTTGCGCACTATCCAACTATCATCAACTATCCGTAACTATCCCATCGATCAGTTGTTTTCCTACTGAAAATGGTGGTTGTTCCATGGTCAGCTTTGATTTCCAGAGGCTACCGTCGATGGCAAGTCCCTCCAGCACCGAAACACACCCAGGACTTGCGTCGGCGACAGCTGTCCCAGGCGCCTTGCCGCAGGGATTCACTGGGGTATCAGCAGGATCCAGCAGGCACTACATGTGAAAAGGGCCTTTCATGCTAGCTTTTAAGGGCGGGAAATGACAAGATATTCAACTTTTCAAGTCCCAAACTTCGACCTGTGCCCATGGATGTGATGTTTGGCTGAATGACCAAGCATATGTGACGCGAACCACTCTAATTGAGCCAGTCTTCACCCAAACCTTCAACTGCTACTTGGGTATCCTGAAATTGGCCACCCTCAGAAACCACCAAGTGATGGTCTAGTTTGGTTCCGAAACCATCTCAGATTTCTATAGATTCCCATGTTTGAGACACATCCGACTCAACCTTTGGCCATTTGCTGGCACAGGTGAGTTTGTTGGCTGAGTCGCCAGCAGGACTGGCACCTGGCAACTTCTTGTCTGTGGCGGTGTTGTTGGCTGCTGTGTAGCCTGGCCTGGTTCAGTGTCATAGTGAGTGAAAGTAGGGGTGAAGTGAAACAGGAAGGATTGGCAGGGAAAGGAATACGAAGGAAAATAGGGAAGAAAACTAGAAAACAGGAAAGAAAGAAACACAGGCAAGAAATTAGGGAAGCAATTTGGTATAGGTTTAAGATGGTTTAAGCTATTTTGGATGCTTTCGGGTGGCGAGATTCCCAGGTACTTGGGCTATGTGCTGTGGATCATGTCGCAGATGAGCCGTGTGGTGGGCGATGCACCGCAGCGCCCGGCAGCCCCCTTTGAACTGGGCACCCGGGGCCTTGCAGATATCCAGCGACTTGGCGTGACCTGGAACCTCAGTTGGCTTATGGGGAGGTATTCAGAATCCAACGGTGTGCTAAGTTGTTGGGTCTGAGAAAAGTGCACCACAGCTTAAGATATTAAAGATATTTTAAGAGACTTCAAGATTGTATATTGAGCTCATTTGTAGTGTGAAATCTAGGTTGCAAGGAAAGGGCGAAAGGACTCGATGCTTCTTCCACATCAACCTGGAATGTTTGCATGGGCTGATGGCCTGGGAAGTGGATAAAACAAGCGGTGCTGCAGTTTCACTTAGGTGATTCCCGAGATATGAAGGGAGGAAGGAACCATATCTGTTATATGTCATCATTTGATGGCAAGATGCTGTGTTTATCTTTCTGCATTTTTAGGTCCTTACCAAGATGGCACTGGATTCTGGACCCTCTGCCAAAGCATGGCAGACTAAATCCTGTGGCTCTCCAAAAGATGGAAGCTTCTCCTTGGCAGCTTAGGTGGGGCAGCGCTGTCTGAACCTCAGGGGTTGGCGAGTGTGGTGGGTACAAACAGACGATCCTGTGGCTTTGGGGTAGGGAAAGTCGCAATGCTCAGATGGTAAACTGGTAAATCAGTTGTCATTTTTTTGGGGACCTTGCGGATCAAAGAAGTACAGTTGCAAGGATTATCGATCTGGGTTATCCCCAAGATGCAAGACAGCCTTCAATAAGTCAAACTTGTGAATCCTCTATCCAACAATGAAACGTGGCAATAAACAATCCCCCATTTATAGGCATTTATAGGAGATGATTTACATCGAGTTACCTCTTTTACGGCTCTCCATAGCAGGTTCGATGACCAGGGGGTAGCTGGCTGATCCTTGTGTCCTAAGGTATTGGTCACCTTCGGCTATTGCTTCTTGGTTTTTGTCTTCGTCCGCTGGATGGAACGGAGGAGTCCAGTGCGGTCTGTCACTAGGACTTGAAACTATGGCTGTTCCATGCTGTGGGATTTTAATGATGAAAGGCTTGGACGTGTCTGCTGAACCCAAGCCCCAGAAGTTCATCACTCTTTACCTTTTCCATCTTTTTCCCCCATGGCAGTGTGTCAAATCCTGAGGTGATTATTTTTGAGATCATGGCAGTGTACAACTCCACCCAAGTCTTGCTGAACGTCTACGAAGTCTGTGCCATTTTCTACGACATGGTGTCGTCGGACTTTCACTTGGACACATTGTCGGGGTCTTAGCTTTGTGGCCAGGTGACTTGAGATCTGTGCAGATGCTTATATATATATATATATAGATGTATAATGATATATATATATATGTATACTATACATACACAGTATTATACTATGCATATCATGTGGTGACCTCATTGCTATTGCCAGGTGACGGTCGTCCCAGTTTTTTGGCGCATCGGCATCCCAGGCCGAAGAACATCGCGGAGCCATTGATTTGGTTGCAATACCACTGTAGGCAGATGGAACTTCTGGATACGTTCCTGGACCGGAAGGACTGAAGATTTGGGGGCGATTGGAAATGAGTGTTTAACTAAAGTTTAATTATTAGACATGATACTGTGATACTCATTGTACTCTTTTTATCTCTTCTTCACTTTTCTGTTGGGGCATAGCATTGGTGTGATTTGAATTGATTTGACATGTGAGAGCATGGAGAGGATATCTGTGGATATGTCGCATGGGAATCCCGAATTTCCCTCAACACAAGGTCCATTCTGGACGACACAACTCGTGGAGGGAATGGGTGGGACATGGATATTTGGATTGGAATCTTGGGACGGGGACGCAGAAATGTGGAACATATCAGCATGGACTTGTGGGGTGTAGAGGATTGGATCACAGCAACGGCAATGGTCACGATTGTGGCATCAGCCACGAGAAGTTTCATGACTCAGCAAGGTTTTTCTTGGTCTTGCGGAAGAAGTTCGACGATGTCTCCTTCTTCCACATGTACTACCGAGTTCTGAATATGCGGCTGGTCTTCACAACGAAAGGATTGGGGTTCAGGTTTTCCAGGGACAAAGACTTGATTCTGCTGAACCTTCTCTACTTCTTGGATTTTAGACTTCAACAGGTTGGACAATGCGGATTTAGTGGTTCTCCAGGTTACCAGGTTCCCAAGTTGGGGTAATTCGTTTGATCCGGTGATTTTCAGAAATGTTTCTCCCTTTTCCACGTCGAGGTGGGGCTGGTTCTTCGGCTTCCACTATGCGTGCGTGGGACCCACCTTGGTGCCGGCCTTGGTCACCTCGGTGGCTCAAGCCTTTCAGTTCCTTGGCGGGGCAAGGCATGGCAAGGATTGACCTTTGAAAACAAGGATTGATCTCGGCAAGTCCCATCCAGAGTCTTTAGGCAGTCTCCGGTCCCTTTTTGGAGCCCACTTTCCAACCATAGCCAATGGACCACTGCGAAAATTGGGAGATCTGGTGATGATTTACCACGCGGCAGCTTTGACAGTCTTCAGGTATATGTCCTTTAGCCTGGCCTTGTTTGGATTCCGGAAGCTGCCGGTCTTCCGCAAGGCCACTGTGGAGTGCTGGGGAGGGTGATTCTTTCGGAGGATCCTGGGGGTTCCCAGGCGCCACTTGCGGAGCTGCAAATCGCCTGTGCCGTGCTGTGCATGCTATCCAACCTGTGGCTGGGTTGATGACCTGAGGGTGGCTGGTGGGAGAATGATGATGACCTTGAGTTCGGGCGAAAAAACTGGGATCTGGGCAGATTCTGAAGCTTCAGACTGCATTATTTGGCAATCTGAGGTTCATGGCTGTAAGCGGGCGGCTGCCTTTGGGCTTGGCCATGCTCCATGCCTTTGCGCCTTGGAGATGACCCTGGGTGATGCCCACACCAAGCGAAGATACAATAAAGATCCTTTACATCCATTTCCAGCATTTGCAGCATCGAATCAAGCCTTGACAGTTGTTTGTGCACGGATTTTCGATCATTTGGACTGGGGTTGGTTTAGTGCGCTTTGCGACCCTTTCTACGATCTTCAGAGATTCAGAATGAATCAATGGGGTGATTTTGCTTTTAGCAGCTGGTTGTGTTATCATCCTCACAGCCTCAAAGAAATCGGCAACTGACACGATGCACGATGTGTTGCCTGTGTTGTACTTCTTGCTTAAAGTGCCCTTAGGTGTTTTTCAATGGCGTGGTGCTCTACACGGTCTGGCCGGGGGTGGGTGAGGCATGGCTGAAAGGCTTCATATCTCCTCAAGCATCCTCAAGCTGCTGCAATTGTGCCGGAAGATTTTTTCGAAAGCCATCACAGCAACTTTTTGGAAATACCTGGTTTTGGGAGGTTTTGGGATTTCCCCGCAGGATTTTCACTTCAGAGAGAGCCATCCCCTGCGAGCTGCTCGGCCTAGATGGGTTGCGCCACCATCCCACACCATGACAGGGAAGGTACGGGGCAGGTTGACATCATCAGCAGGATATGGGCTGGCGAAGTGTAGACCCTCTGAATCAGATCTTCAAGGTTTGCAAAGAAGGACCATCTATGCAGTCTATGCATATTTATATGCTCTCTGGGTCCCGTGCCCATGAATTCTGGGCCCATCTTCAACATCAGTACAACCTGAAGTTATGCATGGTGGCTCTTCTGCCATCCCCAAACAGGATGTAACAAGCTCTCGATGCGCAAAACCTTGGTAATTGGTAGCATGTGGTTCTGGTCGTGGCGAGGATAAGACGCCGGGAAAGCCCGGAGTGGAGCGGGTGACCTTCTCCTTTGATTCTGCCGGATGGCTCTACGTCTACCAGCAGCTTGGCATAGCTGGAAGATTGGAGGATTGGAAGATGTGGCTGGCACATGTGGTATTGATATGCTATTGATATGCATGGCTTCAGAATTGGTTTTTGCTTTGCTCGTTGATTCGGCAGATGTGCAGTGTTGGAAAATGAGAGCAGAGCAGCAACTCTAGGGACTCCAGGGGTTGAGACACTCAGATTTAGCGCTGGATGCTATAAGACCATTTAAGATTTCAGTCAGAGTCAGAGCCAAGAGTTTCGTCACCTTAGTAACTTTAGTATTCATCATTCGTGTTTTGGATGGCACATGATTCATTGAAATTCAGGCCGTAGCTGCGACATGTAGGATTTACCCGTGATCCGTCCGACCGTCCCAATGGAAGGCTGAAGCGGCGTACGAAATACCGAGGTTCGGGGTTGCCGCGTTTCTTCAAGAGCCTTGGATCCGTTGAGGAACGATTGGGACTTGAGCTGCCTCATATTGGGTCCCCACCAGTGTATTACTTCAATTGAGAGGAAGAGGATGGAACAGGAATCTCTAGATGTTCAGATAGGATCTCCCAGCCCATTCTTTCCTTGTGTCCCATTGCATCTCCAAACCGTTTTCCAAAGCATCCTCTGAGCTACCAGTGTCAGCTGGATGCAAGGAACACTTGATGCCGCCCAATGGTGATGCAAAGGGTCGCGACCCAAGCCACTATCCCAGTGGTTTGGGCTTCAGTGGGTCGACACTTGGCCGTTCAGTGGTGATTCACAGTATGTTTTGGACTGCACACCCTATGATGAAATTGAATATGATCGTGTACTTTCTCCACATCATCCACATCTTTCTTGGGGCTTGGATGTTTCCATTATATCAGTTATATCATGTTTCACCTCCATTTTTCAACAAAGGTAACCTGGGTAGCCTGGGATTTCCCTTGGATCCCAGGAGTGCCGGGGCCTTAACCGCCTCATTACTGGCCTCGGGGACTTCGGTGCCGGATGTCTTCGAGCATGTGTTGGCTCAGTACCTTGGTGGGTTCAAGCACCACAAATAGGGAATGAGAAAATCTACGAACACCATTGGCTTTTTCATGTTTTGTATGAACCAAACACCATGATTTTGGAGGATCACTGATCATCCGATGCTTGGAATGCTTGGAGACTGAGGTTGTCAATTACCCGTGTGCTATGCTGATGTTTGGTGTGTTGCTATGGCTTCAGCTGCAGCCGCAGGTACAAGGTGTGCCGACGGCAACCTTGGAAGATGCCCATTTGTGCCGAGGAGGCGCTTCGAAAGTGCCTTGCCGCAAGGGAGATGGAGAAAGGAGAAGATGATGTTTCTTCCTATCATTCTATGTTATTGTTATAATATTCCAATATATTATATGGGTTATATAAGTTATATATAATATAAATGTTACAAGTTATAATGAATAACAAATAATCTATGGTTACCCTAAGTTACAATATACTGTTGGTTACTAGTTACCAAGCATCACTCTGCTACCAAGCATCCACCTCATGGAACACATTCCGACACCCGAGAAACTGCATCGTGCTTCAGGTATCAGTTTCCGGGTGCTTTCAAGGTGATCGCCGGGAGGTTGGGAAGGGCTGCGCTTTGGGATCCGAAAGGGGCTTCTGAACAATTCCTGAACCATTTGGAAATGGCTCATTCTTTTAATTTGGCAATGGAATCCCATGTCAATGAAGGGGAGCTTCTGTGTTTACGCCGCATTTCCAAGATAGTGTTGCACATCATAAGTTGGAAGAACATTGCAATCATTGGGTAGGTCACCCCAAGCATTGGACCACCCTGCATCATTCATCATTCCAGGCTACGCATCCTGATGACGCGCGCGCTGCTGAAGCCGCCATTCTTTATGGGTCGGGGGCCAGGGGCCAGGGGCCAGGGGCCAGGGCCCGTTTCCGCAAATACCTCATGAACCTCATGGCACAGGTTGTGAAAGTTTGAGTTTCTTCCGTCCTGAAATCGAGTTGGAACCATTGCAACCCAACAGTATTTCTAAAGGATCTCAACATATCTCAACTGGTCAGGTGAGGTGGTGGATGAGTTTCCGGACAACGAAACAGCCATCGAACTGCTGATGGCCTCCTGTCACATCCCCGGCATCTGCGGTGTCTTCCCCAAAGTGGTGAAGGGCAAGTCGCTTGGCGCAGCGGCTTCGGCGTGAAACATGGTGACTTGGGGGTTCTATCTGATCTCGTTGTGGTTTAGTATGGAAATCCCAGTTGAAGATGTTGGTTTTGAATGGGTTTGAATCTTGGTGATCCTTGCTGATTGGATTCTTGGCAAAGAAAATGATTCGCAATGTGGCAAAGGGCATGAAATGGCTGTTGGGAAGGGGCTGTTTATTTGTGGCACAGCGGGGTGACCAAGTTTCACTTCATCACACTGCTGCGGGATGGTTAAGGCGCTACTATGATGGCATGATGTGGAGCTCGCTCTTCGTGCCATGGCGCGGCGCCAAGGAGGATCACATCATCAAAGTGTCTGGTGGCTGGGACGATGATGGGACTTCTTGCGCAGCATTTCAATTCATTGGTTGATTTGGTTGATTTGGTTGGCTGCTCAGTTCATGAAGTCCATCTTTGTATGGGTAGGTGTGTTGGGTCTACCTGGCTACTCATTGGATCAACTTGATCCTTTTGTTTTGGCCTTGTGATCTTTGTCAAACTCTGAGGTATTGGAGGAGTGATGTGGCTTGGCAAAAGGTGGAGATCCACAGGAGATGTGGATCCAGTGGTCCCCAAGTCATCCCAAGTCCTGATTTGCTTGGTGTGCTGGCCTCAAACTGGAGCGATGTATGATGGATGATGATGGATGATGATGGATGATGATGGATGATGATGGATGATGATGGATGATGATGGATGATGGATGTGCACCTGTTGTGATCATTCGACCGGTCTGAGCTGCGAGGTCGGATATCCGACCTCCTTTGATCCCACCCTGGTGGTGTATCCTTCCTCCGCCAGTGCGAGTATTGCGTGGCCTCTATTGGCAAGGCCCTGACACCCCATCCACCTGGCTGAATCAGAAGATGTTTCGGTAATGCCGTAATCATACCTTGAACCCTGATCTGTAGTGACTGGCTATCTATATCTATCTATAACATCATACTGAACCATACTTCTACATCAATGTACATCATACAACCAGGGTGAAAGTTCCCCCTGCGTGCTGGAAGGCTACCTGGATGCCCTGCTGTGGTTCCGCACGCCTCCACGGCAGCCACTCCTCCAAGTTGGCAGTGGTTCAATACCTTGGGCATGCCCGGAAAAGATGGTGAACCAAAATTGGGAGACATCCAGATGGGTTTGTTGATTCGTTGATAAGATTTTAGTTGATACCTGATATTTCAAGTTGCTGGAGTTTTGTCCGTTCCGGTCCCAAGTTCAAGAATATACGGGGCAATGCAAAGGATCCCACTGATTATGACTGATGATGTTTTTCTCAATTCAAATGGCCAACAATAGGATGAAGCATGACTTTTTTTGACAACCCCATATCCAAAGTCAGCCCCATTTCAATAGTTATAGAGAATGAAGACAATTTGTAGCGAAGGGAGTACCATACGCAGATGGGTTGCTGGGAGAAAATGGCTCTCCCTGTTCTCGCTTATGAGGCTGGAAGCCTTCTGCGGACGTCGCGAGACCAGCTCAGCGCGCGATGCCGGCGGCGATGCCTGTGTCAGGTGTGTTTGAGATTTTGAGACGTCGATTTGGGGCAGTTGAAACAGGTTGAAACAACTGGATTAGTCCAAAAATGGGGGTACCATTAAAATCCAAGCCATCATTTCTCTGAAACTGGCATAAATTAGGGTATACTGTACCTGATTTTGGACAAACCCAAAGTGGGAGGTTGATAAGATGGCTAGAACGTGATGCAGCAGAGGTGAAGGTGATCAAGTTTTCTTGTGCTGGAATCCAAAAAGGTTAAAGACGTAAAGCCATTGTAAGCCATCTTCCCAACTGGCTGTACAGACCCTCCAACTTCCAAAAACTAAACAGTTTTTTTCCTCAAAGGTGGGGGTTGTTCCAAGAAAACCAGTTTTCCAATGGTTTGGACATGGGAATTTTCCCCCTAGGACCCTGAACAGCTGTGGCCACAGGCGCAGCAACAGCACCCAGCAACGGCAGCAGCGGAAGTGGCAGGTGGCTAAGGCTCTGCTGAAGCGTACGCCGCCCAAACTGGCCAAGGCACTGGTGCGGTGGTTGGAACCACCTTATTTATATCATTTATTGATATTTATTGAATGAAGTATTTTAACTAACTAATTAATTGATTAATATCTATCTATCTATCTATCTATCTTTCTTATCTGTCTATTTACTTTTTTTTTTTTAAATCTATCTATTTAGCTTCTTTCATTTTTTGTTGAGGGGAACCTGCGTATTTTTCTGCATGGTCACTGATATTCGCTCTCCAGGCCCTGGCGGTCAGTGACCCTTCCGGAGAAACCGTGCGCACCTTGCTGAAGGATTTCTATGACGCCAGGAGCCATGGCAGCCATGGCTTTCCGCCGTCGTGAGTCCCAGCTTAAAAAGGCACCAGTTTTAGTTGGTCAGTTGGTGGTTAAGATCCCAAACAAACTTCGTTGGCATCCCCATCTCATTGGATCGGTTGAAGGGCACAGTTGAACCCCCCATACTTCATAGATTTCATAGGAAAAACCCATGGTTTCCTGTTCAGATATTCCGGTTGAGTTGCTCCATGTTGTTCCCCAAAAAACCATCAGGAGCTACACCATGCACTTCTCGGCACTCTGCTGCTGTGCCCTGCTGCTTCCTCTGGGCGCCATCACGCCGCAGATTCGGAGCACTGTCTTGGGACTCACGCTGGCACCTGGGACAATAGGGGAAGTGCTACGAGCCAAATTAAGATATGATATGATATGATGTGAATTGATGTGATAATAATTATGATACATTGGTTTTGTTTGAACCATTTATAAAGAGTACGTATTTGATTTTTCCAAATCTAGTGAGAGGTTTTTGATATACGTTCAAATGATCACCGCTTTCCATTTTCTAATGGGCAATTATCTTTCGAGGATTATTGAATGCGTACGGATCAGACGAAAACCAGTCTCGTGTAAAGACACTCTATGGTCGGTCATGCGCCATGACTTCCGAAGCTTGACCACATTTCTTGTTTGGGAGGGGCACTGATTTGTGTGTGAGTGTCACTAGCCATTTTTGCTCCTTATCAACACAAGAATTGGGTCTTTGTAAATATTATCCCATTATTATCCTATATTATCCCATGAAATTACCCATTATTCCTATTAATAAAGAGTTTACAAAAACCCCGCTGTATCTGGGTTACCTGGCTGCCATGGCTTGGTTGATTTGCGCCAGGTGGCATCAGTGATGTTTGCATGGCACACAGGTGAGAATAAACAAGTGGCCAAGTGAGGCTTGCGGGGTGAAGTTGTGCTTCTAATATGTTCAAAGATGATCCGACATTTGTGACATTTGTAACTTCGCGTACCTACCTGGTTCTGGTTGAACTTAATCCTTGGGTGCCGGGTTCATTGAGACCTGTTCGTTATTGGGTTCCTGGTTTTAGGGGAGCCTTTTTCAAGCTTTTGTTGTTGTTGTTGTTCTTCTTCTTCTTCTTCTTCCTTCTTCTTCTTCTTCGGACATCAGGACTGTATGACTCACTTTTGGTGATGAACCAACTAAAGGTGAAATAGCCATGTCTGCACTTCCTGCGAACGTCATGAAGATCCAATGTTCTATGGCTAGGCATTCACTGTTGTTGGTTCAAACCTTCCACGTTGATTGGTTCACTACATTTCGGTACTCACCCAGAGTAAAATTTCAGTGATGGAGTCATTCCCGCAACCCCTGGACCATCCAGCTTGACGAGCTGGAGCAGCATGGTCAGCTTGCTCCGAAATGTCTGCAGTCTGGTACTTTAGAAGCAGCCACCTGTCATACTCTTGTCCGCGCGAACCGTCGGCAGGGAGGACCGCGTCCGGATGGACCAAAGTGAGTCCAACCGCCTTGCCTTAGGTGGCACGACTTCCAAGGATCCAATGACAAGATGGTTAGTTGGTTCATTTGTTGCCATGAGTCTCTGACCAAGTAATGATGGTGCTGCAAAAGCTGTAAAACCGATATACCCTTTCTGTCCCTTTCTATCCCTCTGTTCCTTGCTCCAATTGGCAAGCACAGGGCTACAATTTTGAGCGGGCCTAGAAGCAACATAAAGGAATAAAGGAACCTTTTTTTACATTGGTCTTTCCACAGGAGTGGTCTTTTCACAACCACTTGGCCGCAGAATTCCTTGGATTTACGGAAGCCAGAATCACACGGCTTCCCTTTCAATAGAATAACTGATGAACATCTTCTTCCATGATCTTCCATGAAAGGTCCAACCTCCCACAATGCTTTCATTTTGAAGAGCCAGTAGTTGGATTTTACCAGAGTCATTGGATGACTTAGATGCCCTGGTTGCATCCAGATGCCCGTGCAGATATGAAAAGGTCGCTGCGATATGAGGCGGGTCTTTGAGTCTTAACACATCCCAACAGCGTGGAGTTTCCGAGGATTTCCGAGGTGTTTTCATGTTTTGGGTCGTACTTTGATTCACGACTGAACATCAATGAGTTTTTTTTGCCAAGTTACAGGCATCCATGATGGGAAACTACCTAGGCACATCAGTTTACTCTAGTGTATATATATATATATTATATAATTTATCATAATTAATAATTAATTAATTATATATATATATATGATATTTATTCGAAAAAATGGGAACCTCCGAAAAGCCTCAAGAAATGGGTGTATTTCTTGGAAAGCAACCGCCATTGAGGTGGATCAACCTCTTGGATCTCCGGATCGCCGTGCACACACCATAGCTACTGATTAAGATAGCGATATGTGCAAACAAATCATGTATAGAGTATATATATATATAGATGTATATAGATGTATATAGTATATATATATACACATATATAATACACCTATAATATCATGAGAATACTCCCAATCAAGATGGGAAAAGGAGGAATTCACATAGCTGACAGCATCCCACAGCCTTCATAGCGGGTATCCGGGTATCCGCCCAGGCTTTGGGGCAAGTCTCGTGCGACAACTCGAGTGAGGCGACATAGGGATGTAGCATCCCGAGAGAAACTGGGGAGAATTGGAGTTTTGGATTCCAGAAATTTGAAAAGGAACCAAGGTTTTGGGCGGGGACAATTGGATTTGGGTTTTGGGCTATCTCTTTATGGCGTCCTCCAGCTTTTTGGGACCATTTGAACCAAAGAAGTGCCACAAGCCATGAGAGCTTATAAGGGTTCTGTCATTGTGGAGTACTGTCATAGTGGTCATTTGCTTCCTTCCCACCTGAACCGGTGGTGTATGGAGATTTGGAGGACTCGTCTCCAATTTGTCCTACATCCGCAGAGAGTTTGGAGATGCCCCCTACAAAAACCAGCAGCTGTAGAGGCGGTGTTGCAGCAAGTGGTGGCGGGAACTTGCGGGTAGGCTACATCTGACAGAATGCAGAGGTCACATGGTGTGTGAGAAATCTGAACAAGAAACATGAGATGCATTAATAGTTGATTTTGATGCATGAAGGAAATCGGGCAGGATGCATTGGAAGTGGTAGGGAAGCACCATGGCTGTCCACAACTTTGGAGGTCGTGGAGCTGCTGGAACACATCGATGAAGTCGGGACAGCGACAGATGGTGACATGCACTTTGCTGGTTATCTCTCCATGCCATATCTTGCGACTTTGGTTTGTCCCTTTTGCAGTTTTGACATTTTGGGTGGGAACTAGCAGTAAAGCCCTGGTGGAATTTCTCTTGAGCCCACAAGATTTCAAGAATTGTCTCCTGCTCTTCGTAGTAAATTCTCGAATCCATGTTGCCTGTATACAAGTTTCTAAGCATCTAAACACCATCATGCAGCCTTCTGACGCATGAAGGGGTTATCATCATTCGAAGTTCTTTGGAAAGTTCAGCCTTGACATGACAGAGAGATCATTAGTTTGGTTCTTCCTGATGTGTTCGAATTCGCTCTCTCATCTCTTTCAGAGATCTCAGGCCGCTGTCGGTGCCCTGCTGCACGGTCGACGCAGACCCTGCTGCTTGCCATGGCCTCAGGTGATCCATGGCGGAGAATCACAGCGGCGACAGAAGACATGGCACTTTGCGACCGATATGAGCTTCTGCAGTGAGGCACTGTTAAAGTCACTGGTTCCCAGATTGAATATACGTGTATATATATATATATAATAATAATGATAGTAATAATGATAATGATAATTTGCCTTCTGGAAAAATCCAACATCCCAACATCCTCACATGCTCTGGAACATTTCGCCTCAAGGATCCCATCCTGGTTCGACACAATGCGAATGCCTGACGTATGGTGAGGGGATCCCAGGGAAGTACATTGCCTGTCAAGGCATGTGATTCATGCTGGGTATGTAGGGAACAGTCCTGGATCTGTGACTGTAGACCAATGTTCAGAACACCCAGTGCTGAGGCTGCTAAGTTTTTTTTGCAGTGAATGATCTATGTCCAAGATTTCACAACCTCCAGTCTTGCTGGTTCTTTCCACTTTCGACACCTGCACATGTTCCAGGCTATACTTTTCTTCCGTTCGAATGCCATACTTTACTTCTTTAATTTCCTTAAATTTGAAAGCAGCGGAGCAGGCTTTGTCGGCTTTGTAGCTCTTTGGCTCAGGCCAATGTTCCTGTGCTGCGCTCGCCCCGCCATGGATCGCCCTGGGTTGTCCAAGTTGCGTGCACGCTTCCGGCGGGGCAAAGGTCGGGTGAACACGCGGAGCAAGTTCAAGTCCAAAGTGGCGTACGAGGATGAGGACAACGAGGGCAACGAGGAGGAGCAACGGCCGGACTATGTCGACGAGGACCCAGAGGCCATGGCCCTCAAGATTGAGGTGAAATTTCCTATCATTGAGTCAGATATCCCCATGTTTTTGAATGTTTTGGAATGGAATCTTGTTCTGAGCCAACTAGGTGTCAAACATTGTCAAACCATCTATTCCAGCAAATTCCCACCATCAAAGACACGAGGGGTTCACGACATGCCTCTCACATGGCTTCGCAGGTGGAGCCTTCAAGGGACAGCCTCATGGACTCATGCTTCACCACAGAGCTGGACACACGGAGTCAAATCCGACGGCTGCCCCGGCAGAACATTCACACAGAGACTCGGTGAATACTCGATGCATGTGGGGGGACGGTCACAGGGTTGGGAACGTGCGGAACGTGGGAATGTACCAGTTCTCAGGGTGGAAGTAAAGGCATTGTATGCGCTTTGCGTAACCTTTTTTCAATCCTTTTTTCAAACAAGACTAAGACATACCAAGACTTGCAGTTGGGTGCTTCTCAAGGAGTTTGGGTTCAAACACATTCCCAAAGAAGGTGTGTTCCTGCCAGAAAAGCATTTGTTGGTAGCTTGGGAAGAAAAGGCACAAGTGCCACAGGGTTTCTGCGACAAGGGTGTGTTTCTTCAATTTGGGGCCCCGAAATCTACTGTCCTAGTTCGCTACTCGAGTAGATAAATTGTAGAACATGTGGGTACACAAGCCATGGAAGCCAGCACAAGCAAGCGGGTGGATACGGTTTCTCCGCTCATTTTGTCAGCCACCAATGAGGATACGAAGAACGAGTTCGACGTGAAGAGAGATGAATGTGTTGCCAGGGTCCGAGAGATTATAGACGCATGTGAAGACAATGGACAAAAGTTCTTCGATCAAAGCTTCTTACCTGATACACTTTCCCGAAAGTGGTGAAAGTGGTAGGCTGGTGACATAAAAATCCACAGCCTCTGGGTGAACAAAACCGGCTTAAGATGGGAAGATTGCTTGAGGCAGTACCTTGCCATGATCCCCTACGATATCATAGTAGCATGGTTTTCCAGTCCTTGCTCTTAACCAAGGTTATCCAGTTTTCCCGTTATATTTGATTATATTTGATTTTTAAATCACTACAAAAATCAAAGATGATCTCCAGATACAGAAAGCTGTCTTCTTGGAGACCAACTTTCCTGCCATCGTTGATGATCTTTCGGAGATTCTGGATCTGCTCCAATTGCTGAAGGGCTGCCATTTTTTTGGGGCCCCGGTTGCCGAGGTTTTTATTTCGACAAGCAGGAGAATCTGTTTCCACCTGGAACACCGGATGACTGTACAGTGGGTTTGCCCCAGAAGTGCATGCGAATGTCCGAACTCTTTGGTGAAGACTGCAGCTGGGTCTGAGAACAGCGTATCATGAGTAAATGGGTGGTACCCCTAAATTCATTGGCTGATTATGGCTAACCACCATTTTTTTGATTTAAATTGCTAGTGCGGGAAATTGTCAATTTTCAGGCACATCCATGTTGTTTCACGATGTGTCAAGTGATGCAAGTATGTCTAGAGATTGTCCATTGATATGATGCTTGCTATTGGGACACCCCAACGTTTCACCTAGGTCAGGTGTTTGTTGAGGGCGAGACAGATGAAATCAATGACCCTGTGGATGCTAGTGAAACTTGGATATATGATATGTCACGGATGTCACACATTCTGCAGCATCACTATGTCCTGGCTAATTTTGAACTCATCGTTACCCTTTGGTTGGCCATTGAATACCCCCAACTGCAGGATTTCCGATCATCTTCCAAGAACACACTCATGCCTGGCCCAGATCCATTTATGTCGCGATAGCAGAACCCGAACTTTCCTTGGTTTCAGCTACTTGTGTATTGGGGCCTGTTGGAAGGAAGCTAGATCTCCCTGTTGCGACGAAGGGTTCGAATCCTCAATCCTCCTTGGGCACGTCGCTTTTTAAAATCATAATCTAATTTCGGAAGAAATAGGTTCTCATCATTTCTCATCCATGAAATTCTTGTCGGACTAAAATTGATACATCCCCAACCAGCTCTTGAACATTGTCTTTATGTTTAGTGGACAGCGATGGTCGTGGCATTCCCTTTTTCTGGTCACATTTCATCCTAGGACATCGTTCAGGGCAGCATCGGCGACTGCTTTCTGATTGGTGCGATCTCTGGCATCGCAGCACATGGCTTGAAGGTGTCGGCTCAGTGGGACAAAGAGGACGCAGGCAACAAATCTCCAGCCGCCGGCAAGCTGATTCGCATCGCTTTAATGAATGGGGATTGATTTCCAGAAAAATCCTTGGCGGTTTTGGTTGACCTAGTTACGAGTGGTTACCAGATTTCATATTCAATCTTTTTTTCTGGGATGTCTTTGGATAGTCGCGTCTTTCCACTACAACTGCTGGCCAGGCGAAGTTCCAGACAATGCTCCGAGCGTGGAGCATGAGGAACCCATCGAACGGCTGTTGGTTGAATACGATGTGAAGGCTGGCGTCTATGGCGTGCCATGCCGGGAACAGCACAGATTCCACTGACTTTCCATGGCCCTTTGCATATTTTTCATGTTGATTAGAAACTGCATCAGAAGTGCAGGTCATCCTTGATGACCAAGGTCATGTTCTTCAAGATGGGACAATGGGAATGGGTGATCATTGACGACTTGATTCCCATGTCTCCGGATGAAGAAGAGACGCCTTTATTTGCCAACTGCAAGGTGGGTGACCCTCGGATTTGCAGGAAAGCGTTGCCTGGTTTCCACTCCTAATCCAAATCCCATCAGCGCTTTGACAAGCCACTTTGGCTGCGGTGACTGGTTGCAAATCATAGGATACCTAACATCAGACACCCTCACGAGTGAAGGCTTGCATGACTTTGCACCAGAAAACGACATGTACTAAAATTTACAATTATGGAAGTATGAAAGCATCACTGGAAATCAAGATCTCAGGACAAACGGGATCATCAAATTTGTTCTAGGCTTGAAACGGCCAGATAAAACTGGGCACACTTTGGAACTCTGCAGCTATTTAGATCATCTCCCCTCCAAAGACTGTGTAACGTGAAATCAGCCCTGAGGATTGGCCTTTTGCCCACCTCAATCGTTTTGGCCTTTTGGTCCCAAACATGCTCCAAGATGCAGAGACCGACGTTTGGTCTCGGTATAAACCATCCACTGTTTTGATGTACTCAAATTCCAACCATCGTAATACAGACCCCAAAAAAACAGCTGGACATGGATCAAAATCTCCAAGACAGCATTTTTTTGGTTGTTTTTGGGGTTTCAGAATGTTTTAAGATGTTTTAAGGTTGAAAACCAATTTGGGCCACGGCTTCACTGTGGATGTTTCCCGAGGATATGGAGCTGTGGCCCATGGTGCTGGAGAAGGCCTATGCCAAGCTGCACCACAACTGGGATGCCATTGATGGCGGCTTTGCTGGTCAGGCGGTGAAGGACATGACAGGACGCGACGTGACGCTGCTGTGACGGCTTTTGGGGCTGGAGCCAAGGGGCTGGTGGAAACCGTAGCAGCACTGACAAAATCTGGATTAATGGTGATTAATAGTGATTAATACTGATTAATGGTGATTACTAGTGACTAATAGTGACAAAACATGACAAAACCACATCATGTGTTGATATCGAAAATTATCGAAACATATTTTTCCAACTTGTTTCGTCACTTGTTTCGACATTGCCAATCTTTTTTTTTATTTCCACAGTTCCACAGTGGTCGTCCTTCGACCTGTTTTTGACTTTGATGGAGTCGGTGTGACCAGCCCACAGGAGGCGTGATGCAAATGTTGGATCTCTATGGTGCCTCGGTCGATCTGGGGACATTGGCATCTGCAGAGGGGGCTCCTGGTTTCGCCTAATGTATCTGGTTAGAATCCCAATTTGGAGGTTCTCTATAGACTCTATGGTTTAGAGTGTTTGATCCCGCCAACACAAAAATGGTATAGCTTTATTTTGGTGATACTTGGGCGTCTGGTCATGCTTCATCTCTCCAACATGCTTGGCCCTTGGCCGAGCGCAGGTAACGATTCCAAATATCGGTGGAAGTCCTTCCTGCGGCAGGCTCAAGATGCTGAGCTGCATCTGGAGAGGTGAACTAAATTGAAGTGGGGATAGTGGGTAAACTTGGGTGATTTGTTTCTGAATGAAAGCTAAAAGGCTTAGGAGCCAGGCCATCAGCTTTCAGCCATCTTTTTCTTCGCTATCGTTCGCACAGCTGGAACAAGTCACTGTTTATCTGCCAAACTGCAGCGTTGTCTACAGACTTGGAACGGGTCAAGATCTTGAGCTTTCTGAAGTTTTCTGTCACAAACCAAGAGACACAAAATCAGTCCTTTCCGATCGCTCTTCAGCTCGCCTTTTGATCACGTATTTCCTGGCAAAAGGTTGTCTAGTTGGGCTGCATTTGTCATTGTCGAGCCAGATTCGTTCAAGTCCCCTTGGAAATGCGCTATGTTTTCATGAATTATTGGCTTGCCAATTCCGAGATATTCAATGACTGCACTGGACTAAGGATACCTTGACGGTGATTGGTTGTGCCTGTGGAGACCATGTGGAGGAAGAGGAAGGTGAAGGGCAATGCGGAGAAGCCAAAGGCCCGCAGGGGAGACGACATCAGTTTTTTTTCAAGGGATCTGTGACCACATTTGTTGATTTATAGGATCCTAAGTGTGAGACAGCGACAGCCGAGACAACCACAGCCAAGGTGTTTATGGTCTTATCAAGGGCCATGCATACACGGTCCTGTCGGCCTATGGCCATGACGGTGGACGTGGCCCATGTATTGTCAAAGTGCGCAATCCTTGGGGCAATGATGCCGAGTGGACTGGAGATTGGTCTGATGACAGCGAGCCTGGTTGTGCAAGGCGGATTTCCCTTCGAATTTTATGGAAAGAAGATTAAAGAAGGATCCATCTGGTTGGTGCCGTGGAAAGTCTCCAAGTTTGGTATCTTAAGGAAAACATGAACACAACCTTCTCGTGTGACTTTGTTCGAACTTGTGGCTTAGGACATGTGGAACAAATATCCGGAGGTCGCGGAGGCCGTGAACTTTGACCCACAGGCTGATGGAATCTTTTGGATATCTTGGAAGGATTTCAAGTACTACCTGGGGTCCCTGGAGAGTCTCTGTCTGAGACTGGGGAAAGAGATATGGGCCAAGGGTGTGAAATCAGACCTGGGGGGTCTCTAGTTTCAATTCTATCAAAACCTTCTACTGTAACCTTTGCGTTTTTTTAACCTTTGGATCCCCTGCGATGCACTTCTTTATAACTTAGAAGATGAACAACATAATAACATACAGCAAGCTGGTTTTGGGATTTCCCAATCGTCACCATGTTGGATCTGTGCACCAAGGATTGTGCGTTTTTTCCCTGGTTCATGGAGAGTCATGACTCACTATGCGGAGGTGTGGTTCTGCTTGGCGCTTTTTCTTGTGGGCTCCCAATGGGATCTGTTTTGCCGCACCCAAGACATCATTGTTGCAAAGAGGTGGTGTTTGAATTAACAGACATAATCCTGATAGGCCAAATTTGTTTACGTTGCATTTATCTTTTTGGTATAATATGCCTTTCTACAACATGCATTACGAAATCCATAAATGACACCTACTCTCAAAATATGCACATCGGTACTGAGACTTCTGCAGTGTGTGCACAAACGATTTGAACGTTGAACCGATCCTCAAACTTTCTTGAGACATGCCGGGTCAGGCCAGCGGCAATGAGAGAGACAACACCTACATCGTTCATGTGTCACAGTCCAGTGATCCACCTGCCAAAGCTGCTTGGATGCTTTGACTTTGGGTTAGCAACATGGTCAGCGGAATCATCCAGTTTCAATGCCCAAATCATATTTGAACATCGGTTTTTGTTGCAATACCATGCTTCCAAAATCATCTCCACCAATCGGGGAGTGCTACCCACTCACTGTGTGTGTATGTGTGCGTGCGTGTGTGGGGTACCTATTTGTGGACTGATTGGAAAACTACTTCCACTGATGTGGCAAAATCACTCCTGTTCGGATTGCTTAAATGAGAGCTCTATTTCCACCGGCAAAGGCTTGGGCCACTTGGGGCACCCCGGAAATGATCCAAGACATTTTGGGGTCCAAGGGCCCCACCCGATCCCCAACCTCCAAAGATCAGTGGGTCGTGAAGTCTCCAGGCTGTCTTCGTATTGGGTCAGAGCCACACCAGATGCGCTCACAGCATCCTGGAAGATGCGGCCTCTGAGGCCTGGGGGATAAGCGATTTTCACTAACAGGGTATCCATAGACATGTTGATATGATTTAATATGGCATGAATGCATGAATGCGGGGATATCTATTGGATATAATATATGATATATATATATAAATATATATATATATATGGGATATGCACTACTGCAATCAGTGTCTGTACGCATCTTTGGTCATTTTGGGAACCTTGATATGGGCAACCTTGTGTTGCGGAAAAGGTGAAACAGACCACTGCCTGACGCGGCAGGAAGCGCATCAGATCCAGAAAGGACAAAGCACTTGGGACGGCACGGTCTCCGAAAGGATGAAGTTGGAGGTGGCATATCTAGGACCCTTGGCTCCAGATGGCTCCAGATGGCCCCAGGTCACAGTGATTGACAGTGATCCCATCTGGAAAAATGCAGCCCCAGCCATTCTCAGCTTTTTCAAATGGCTACAGTAACTCAGTGGTGGTTCGGTTCGGGAATCCGCCGGTGGCACGGTACCTATTGGTCTTTTGCACGCAGAACCTAAGCAGCACCGGGACAGCCAAGGAACTAATCAGCCGCCCAAGCGTATGGGAAAGCTGCTTGACTGGACATGTTGACCTTGATCCGTTTGGTGCCTGGGCCACTGGGCCCGGTGTTTTGAAGTCCCAACAGGTCCCTGTCTCTGTCAGTTTGCGGAGTGGCAGTTTTAGGCGAATTCCAAGTTGCCCCAATGGGACACCAGAGTTAGATGGAGTGAGAAGTACCCACATGTCGAGCATCCGTGGGCATAGAAGCGAAGATTTCATGGAGGAAATACATGGAAATTCGGACATATTGTATCTGATTTGTTCATGAAATGATTTGGTGATGATTTGGTGCTGCAAAACTCACTGGGAGGCTGAAGAAGATGGGGAAACCTTTGCCCAATGGTTCAGCCGACAGCGGTGAGGCTCAGGAAGTCGTTTGGGTGGAGCAACGCAACTTGAAGGCGCCAGGGGCCGGGTCTTGAAGCTTATGTTAAAAGTTAAAACCCATGATGGCCCCCTGAAGGTGGGCTACTACATGGTCAAGGTGAGTGAAGCTTGGCTAAAGTTTGACAGATCTAGGCTCATTTGGTGCTCAACGTGTCGTGATTCTGGTATGGCCCAGAAGGTGTTTTGAAGAGTTGTGGAACCCCGGCGGATTGCTTCATTTTCTGAACTGGATTCATGAACGCTTCCAGCTACTGATTTTTCGGCACCTCACTGAAAATATCAATCGCAGTCTTTGCGGATGATTGCGTCCCCTCAGCCACTGGTAGAGAGACCCAACCACAAACATTTTTGCAGAGAATCTATGTTCAGGTACAGATTTCAGTGACTCGTAGCGTCAGGAAAGCGTACCGGTGGCATGTTTCATGAACGTTCGCTGACTTAACGGGTTAGCTGAGGAAATTGACGAGGGAATTCAATACTATCTTCGAGTTCATTTCAACCCAGAGGGTGAGTTGAGTCGCCCGTGCTGAAATCGGTTGCAGGCGTAGTGTGGGTGGGCCCCCAAGAATAGCTAGAAAGCCAACTGGGATGACCATTTTCACATGTGAAAAAAAATCGTTTCCTGATGGCAGGAAAAACTGCAACGGATGTCCGTTCTTGGGGTGACCAGTGCAAGGCTTTTATCATGGAGGACATTTTACATTCTTTTTTCATGAATTGCCAATGTGGGCTATATCACCTATGAACAGGGTTTTTCAACTCTAAACTGCTTTTGGGTGTTAAGAATAAACTTCAAAGTGGGCCTACATCGGCCCTACAAAAATGCGATGCCGGGGCAAGGTAGTTGGCATTTGCCAAAGGGCAGAGAAAGCGCCTTGGGCTACTCACAATTCGAGGCCCCGACGGAGATCACGTGTTGTGCGACAGGTGAAACCTGAAAGTTTGCTCCGTCTCCTCTTAGCTTGACGTTTTTCCACAGTGCAGAACTCTGCTATTTCACTTTGGAGTAAGCAGCGAAACTTGAAGAGAGGGGATGATATGAACAAGCCAATAGGGGGGGACCACTGGTTTGGCTGAAGGTTGACATGCTAATAGAATTATGATAAACCATTGGACTTCAAGGGTCCCTTGGTTGACAAATCTGGACTGACCGAAGGTCGATCCAATTTCGTGCCAGGTGGAAGAAGAAGAATATGATGAAGAGGCGGAGGAGGAAGAACTGGATGATGATGGAGAGTGGGAATCAGATGATTACGAGTACGAGGACTGATTTGCCCCCTGCCGGCTCTTGCTGGCATTTCTCCACGGGTTTCAGCGTCTCACAACCCCCATGAATTTCAAGGAGTTTCAAGCGATGTCTTGCGTTGACATTGGTAGGGGATGTGACCAACTAAGGGACCCGCCCAGCAACATGCAGAATTTACTAAAGGCCAATGATAAGCTGTGCCAGATTCTTTCTGAAAGGTTGTCTTAGTTGCCCGATAGTAGCTCAACAGAAGTCCACTCCATGAGTCATCTGGGTACAATATAATTATAGTTAGTTTTTTTCTCCCTTTACTAATAAGAAATAGTAAATGGGAAGCTTTGCGTTTGAGAAATCAGGACATGGCAACCAAAGTTCAGTAGCAAAGTTTAGTTGGCACATCCCATTGATTGGTTTGACCTTTTCAACACTCCATGGTGCGCGGGACCAAAGATGTTCTCCCCGCCTTTCGTGGCGCCCAAATGGCATCGGAAGATAAAATGTGGCAAGAACGGAATGGCATGGCAGAGCATGTTGGTGGAGCCCTATGGCTGCTTATATCATTGATGTCACTTATTGTTCATGGCCCATGGAAAAGGAGTAGAAAGAAGAGTTCCAAAAGATTAACTCCTGAGTTTACTCCTGGGATAGTTACTTTCAAAACTTGGTACCCATTCATTCGGACTCTTGAGTTAATCTTTTTTGGATGATGACTTGCTAGGAAGACTTAAATCAAGAGTTAAATCCTCTGTTTGGAGTGACGTTGGCCGGTAGCATTGCTCTGACTGATTGGTTGTCAGGAAGACTTAAATCCAGAGTTAATTCCCCCATAGTGTCCGCGGCAGGTTCTGGGAAGTTTGGGTGGGGAATAGTTTATTAGGTTTTGGAAAGGTTCCTGTGCAGTTCCCAGGAAGGTTCCGGTAGGTTTCAGACAGGTTCCCGTGCAGTTCCCGGCAAGGTTCCGGTGTGTTTTCCTGGCAGCTCGAAAGGTGGTTCGGGACGGTTTGAAAAATTCCTTTCAGGAGGACTTAAATCAAGAGTTAATTCTCCCACAGTAGGTTCTTGTACAGTTCCCAGGAAGGATCCGCTAGGTTTCGGGCTGGTTCTTGTGCAGTTCCCAGGAAGGATCCGGTAGGTTTCAGACAGGTTCCCGTGCAGTTCCCGGCAAGGTTCTGGTGGGTTTTGCTGGCAGCTCGAAGGGTGGTTCGGGACGGTTTGAAAAATTCCTTTCAGGAGGACTTAAATCAAGAGTGGATTCTCCCACAGTAGGTTCTTGTACAGTTCCCAGGAAGGTTCCGGTAGGTTTCAGACAGGTTCCCGTGCAGTTCCCGGCAAGGTTCTGGTTGGTTTTCCTGGCAGCTCGAAAGGTGGTTCGGGACGGTTTGAACATTTCTTTCAGGAGGACTTAAATCAAGAGTTAATTCTCCCACAGTAGGTGTTGTCAGATTCTTCTGCAGAAGAAAGAGACAAATATATCTTGGTTGTTGAACCCAATGACTTAGTTCATCCAGACACTTGGGGACCAGAGATTATTATCACTTGTGCCATGGACAAACACTTTGACGCAGTCGCTTAGCGACCCTCTCCAAGACTTGTTGCGTGGTCCGCACAAAAGCTCGTGAGTCAGGAGCAGGGATACCAGGGCACTGCAGGTTGATTGTAAACACCTCCAGGAAATTGGCGCACAACCTTGTCAATTTCGGTCGATCACTGCCATATGCGCAAACACGATGGTCCTGAATGTAGAGCTTGTCGTGACAATCCATGTCCACCCAGGGTGTTACAAGCCAAAAGAAACTATTTGCAGGGTAATGTGATTCGTTCATCCAGTATGAAACCGTGGGAGAAATTACCTTTCAGTCACAGCCCCCATGGATGAAAGCCGGGACTAAGGGTCAAGGCCACAGTTCAGACCGGATTTCTATTACCAATCTGAAGATGTTCTATTGCCAACCTCACGAAGGTCGTAAGAAAGAATTAACTTGCCATTTAAGTCCTTCCACGAGGATGCTAGCAGCTGGAAGGTTTATAAATTTGGGCAAAAAAGAATTAACTCGCGATTTTACTCCTTCCATGGGGCTGTTCCAATGCAATAACCATTGCAGACACTACAAGAAAGCCTGGGATAAAATCGCGAGTTCACTCCTCAAACCAGAAGGTTGCCCTGGTGGAGCATAAATAATAAACTTTGAAGTTTAGAATTTTGCAACTCCTGTTTTCACTCCCTTCCATGGCCCATGCATGCGTCTTTCGAATTTGCAGGGTCCAAAGAAAGAGTGGGTTGACTTATTGACTTATTCTTGTTGAAAGAACTGGTCATGGATGAGCTCAGTCCATTCTTTGCTCACGCAAGTTCTTCAACTAGCAACTAGATGAACGGGTACCAAAAGATTCATGGAATTGCACACTCTCCAAGTTCTCATGGTGTTGAACCAGCCTGAGGCAGACCCTGAGGTGAGCTTGGACAATCCAGCTGGGCGCTCGGGATTGGCTGTGGGTTGGTGGCGCACAGTTCAGAATGAGCACTGCCAACATAACTTGAGCCGTGAACATCGCCATTTCTCTTGCAAATCAATGCATCAAACAGAAACGCGTTCAGATTGCGACCATATGGTCTTGAACTTTCCTCGACCCAGAAACTATAAACAACCACCTTTGGGGGAGATATGGGGTTGATGGTTGAATTCTGAAATGTGCCGACATAAACATCTGGCAGGACTGACAGGCTCTTCATGCCCCAATCAAAACCCAACGTACACCTTTATCATCGGTGGATTCAGTTTGTTGGAGGCAACAGCAACATATGATTCACAGATATACAGATATCCTTTCGCAGGGTTTGACATGGTTTGGCTCCGATTTTAAGACCAGAGAGAGCTTGTTCTATCATGTTTTCACAGAACGCAAAGCGGTGAGATCAAGCCCTGTGGCTATCAAACATGATCAGAATTGAATGGAGAGACATCCCCAAAATTGCAATTGGGGGATTTCAAAGTCACAAGAATCACAAGAAGTGATGTAAGTTGGGAACAGTGTGTCTTTCCGGCCCATCAAAAACAGCACGGCTCAAACCAGGCTTCAGGTTGCCTTGACAATAGGGTGAAAGATCACCAACACTGATTGTTGAAGTTCAAGGATGACCATGGACAACTACACTATACTCAGCCTTTCCAGGTTATTTTTCAAAATCTGCGATGTCATAGATGTCATTACATACCGTCACACAGATCTGAAGGTGTGGTGGATCATTTTTGTTTTGTGCGCCACTGGAAAACCATTTGTTTTGAGTTGTCAGAACGAAATGCTCCAGATGTGACTTGCCCATGGTCATTCTGGCTACACTTTGCCCGTGCAGACTTCGACCCAAGCGAGGGGGCCCAGCCGGCCGAGCCGGCCCAGCCGTGGATTTCGACAGAGGAAATTTCGAAGGATGAAGAAATATGGAAGATGGATGAAGATGGTGTAGTTTTCATCAGAATCATTTCCATCATGGACAATGTGGACATTTGTGGACATTTCATCTAAAGTTCAGTTTGAGCAAGCTGGCAGGGCCTCCGCAAGTGTACCCCAAGTCCGTTCGGGTCAGCGACCGTGTGGACAGGCAGGGCGACAATGGCTTGGTTTTAGATGTTTGCGGAACATAGCCAGGGTCTTGATAGAAATTATTAATAATATGTCACATGCGTAAGATCATTCCGTTGGTGTTCACACCAGAACACCTTGTAGCCAGAAGTTTCCGTTCGCAATCCGCTGAACTGGACTCTTTCATCGTATTGAATCGACTGTTGCCTCCTGTTGACCCCTGTGGTTGAAGGCTGTTTGAATCTGTTTGATGGTTTGTGGTTCATGGTTCACGGCTGATGGTGTCCCACAGGTGGAGGTGGTGGCGGATGCCTCGCTGGAGGCCATGGGGTGTGAGCTTCGGTTTTCACGGAGATTTATCAGTTATTTATAGGGGTTTAACTACCATGGTTTAACCACGGTTATTTACCTTAAGTTATTCCATTACAATCCATTATAATCCATTATACCATTATTTGGGAGGATGAACATCCATGAGCAACAACTATTTTGGCGTGAGCAGAAGGGGAGGGTTTTGATCCATGGCTATTGGCATATCTGAAACATTTGGGCAACTGCTTTGATCCAAGAAGGTGTCGTGTATAGTCTGTATAGTTGTAACATGTTGTAACATGTTGTAACTAGTAACTAGTTGTGTGCTGTGAAATTCTTCAGATGCTTCTTGTGGAAGGCTGATGGACAGCTGGAGAGTTGCAACGAAGGAGCATCCAAGGTCCTCGATTGAATCAGATCTCAGGGGCTCCGTGCCACCGGGGGTGAAGCATTCAGGGCATGTTCTTTTCATGCTGGGATGTCCGCATAAACTCTCAACCTCAAACGCACAAACATGGTAATCAATGGTAATCAATGGTAATCAATGGCTATTAGTAGTTACTTTGAAGAGGGGAAACCGCTGGTTCCAAACGGTCTCCACCGCTGAGATGTGGCTTCCGAAGCAGTGCCCGTGTTCCATTTCCGCCAGGCTCGCCAGGCTGAGGGTGAGCTCAGTGCAGAACTCTTGGAGGCGCCGCAACTGGTGCCGGCCATGGGACCCATGGCATGGCCAGACCGTAGACCCGTAGCATCAATCGGATCCAATAGCATCCAATGGCCGCCCTGTTCCCTCCGCAGTTGGCTGGTCACAGATACAGGAGATCAAAGCCACCTTTGACCTTTGCGACTCCGATGCTTCGGGAGAGATCCATGCCAAGGTGCTGGGACTGGGACTGGGACGAATTTTGCTGGTCGGTTTCCACCCCTAGCCTTCTTTTCTGCAACTAGTTGCTTTTGTACAAACTTGACAATCTAGATACCAACTGTTTCCATGAATGACTAATCACTAATGACAAATCAATGCAGAGATTCGATACACTCAGAGACCAGATGGCAGTAGGAGGAGCTGTCACAGCGCAGGAGTTGCGGATGGTGATGAGGAACCTGGGTTTTAAGCATTCCAACGAGGAGAC